CTGTTGGTTCAACCAGTTCAACTTGCCCTTTTCTGCCTGTTTTGACCGCCCAGGGCGATCCGTCGCATCTCTAATGGCAGGTGCCAAGGGGTCGATCCTTGCAGATACCAAGATCTACTTTGACGAGTTTCAATGGTGGCGGCCCCAAATAACAACCAGGATATCCCTGGGACTTGCCCACTTGTTTGATACAATTGGAACATGTTGATAAAGATTCAAAGATTCTTCAGCATGTTTCATCACAATGGAACAATGGTAGTGAGAAGAACGGCCCCTGTGCAGGAGGCACAGCGACGGATTGGAAGCGTGGTGTCCAAGCACAGTTCGTCAACATCTTCGCAGCAAACGACAAAACTATAACTTCAGGGTGTACAACAAATGTGTGAGTCCAGAAGGTTGGTGCAGGGAACATGCAAATAACCTAAATAACCTTTGCTACCAAACCCAAGGATGCTTCGATGTTTCGTCACTCTCGTGTGTTTCGTTAGCCTTGATGTCAACAATTTCACCCAAATGTTGGCATGCTGCGATGTGAACAATGAATGAATTCAGCAAGTCTGCCAGACCCAGAACCTGTGGCTACATCTAGCTGTGTTAAAATATGCTTAACTGGTGGAAAAATTTGGACGGTCCCATCTTTGGAGCTATCAACGGAAACGAGGCTGTCGAATTTGATGTGGGAATTGATGCAGCAACCAAATCGGAGAATTTGATTGGCCGGTTGAGCAGGAGAATTTAAAGAACAAAGCTCCCAGCTGGGTTCGGTTGGTTCGTGCTGGAACGGAGTTTTCCTTCCACCACAGCTGTAGGGGTGTGATTTGTTCATTTTGCGCCAAGGTGGCCCGGCGAAGATTCCCTCAGCAGCTGCCAATTGCAGAACCTGACTGCGCGTGCGACAGTAAAATAGGCTGAGCTGCCTTTGGACCTGCAGATTTGGGGGATAGTCTCGCTGGCCTTCGCAGGACACGCTGGTTGTGCTACTTTCTCTTCTTGCGGGCCTGTTCGCCCCGTCTTCCAAACGTATGGATTGTAATCAGCAGAGCGCAAGCAAAGGAGTGGTTGCTTGCTATGACACTGTTTTGTTGCGAACTGGGTTTTTGCACTTGTTTTTGTTCATCCTAAACATTTGCTCCTCATGCCACCCTTAAGAATTCTCACTTACCATTCTTTGCCGGGTTTGTCTTCCTAAGTTTATTTCGCAAAGCCGTCTCACACCAGGCAAGTGAGGTTGTGATTCTTTCGTTTTGACTTTCATCAAGAACAAAGTTCGATGCTGGAAAGTCCTTGCTGAGTGTTTTGAAGCTGGCCTTGACCATGTTTACGAAAGGTGAATTGCGCAGTGCTTTGCCCAGAGTACATTCCCACACAACAGGTCCATGCAGCTCCATGCAGTTCCAGATGATTTGATCTTTGCAAGCCATGTCGTCCTGCATTTTCGCACGGTTCAAAGGCTGTTATGAGGCAAAGGTGATGCAACAAATCACTATATAACTTGTGGTTGCCCCGGCGAACTTTTAATCCCCAGAATGGATGCATGAAGCAGAAAAACAGGATGTGCAACAGGCCCAACAGAAGCAGCTGCCACCATGTGCACGACAAAACGCATCTTGGCACGGCACCATTTCGCATAGTGGGGCCCTCAGTTGCGTCCTGATCGGAAGCATTCTTTGGCTTGTGTCAATTTCAGCAGGCTGAAGGTGTCACCCATGTTGCCACCGAGAAGTCACTGAATGCAGATGTCCGAATCATTGGGCGATGTGGCGAATTTGGTTTGGCCGAAAGTTTGGCTTGCAGAGGTGCTTGTGCGATTCAAGGCAGCGTGCCAACACTTTCCCACACACTCCACTACATCCCAACACACCGCATGACTCCAACGCATCGCAGTAGATGCCAACGAGGCATTCCATTCCAAGACCTTCCGACATGTCACGAAGATTCACGAAAGGGGCATGTGACGTGCCAGGAAACAGCTCTTCCTGGCATCAGATCACGTGATGAAACGTCCTTTTCTAGTCAGCTAAGTCGGAAAGTGACTCGTCCCATGCATCCAGTTCATCTCAATTACATTTCAGATCATTTCGGTGCATAACCTTCTCAATAATATGTCTAGGAAGCAGCGTCGTAACATGTGATGACATGATCCAAGGAGGTGTTACTTTTACACAGCAATGAAAACAGCATTTCGCAAGATGAGACCACATGGTACAACGTGGGCCTTTTTGCACTCGCTTTTGAGTAGTAGAAGCGATTGTGGTGTCGGCCATGGGTTGCGGCTTGTCGCGGCCTTGGAGGCGCCAGCCTCGGGAGGCGTCGGTTCAAAGCATCCGACCGCTGCCCGAATCGAGTGACGGGGAGGAAGAGGAGACGCCTTTCCTCCTGGCCGTGAGAGAAGAGCTGTGCGACAAGGCGGCCGATGAACCCGAAATCTACGGCAGATCTGCAATTTTCCCAGCTGGTTCCGGGGCTTTCGCCCTCAAAGTCTGTGGTTTGCTCGGCCTGGCACTGGCCATTGCGGCCGCGGTGGTGTTGCGAGAACCGTTGGGCAAAGAGTTCCACGTCTTGCATGCGAAAATGGTGGATTTGGGCAACCTGCGCAGGTTCGCCCCAGGGCCTTGCTTCACCGACCAGATCCGGAAGATCATGGAGTGGGCAATCCTGACGTGCGGTGAGCATCGCACACAGCTGTTGCTCTCTGGAATGCTGCTGTTGGCTCTGTTTCTGTTGAAAAAGTGCAGCGAAAGTGTTGCAGAGTTTGTTGTCCGAAAACTTGCAGGTGAGGAACATGTTGAAAGATTCTTTGCAAAAGCTGAAGTGGCTCAAATGGGTTTACTGTGGCTGGCAGACATGCTGTCGGACATGTACGTGACCTCCAAATATTGCAAGCAGAAGATGTACGTCTTTGCTCTTCTGATGATCTTGATTTGGCTTGGTAGCGGATGCGTAGCTTTTGGCCACAGATATGTGAGCTGGAAACGATGCGGAATTGAAGCCAATTCTAAGTATTGGGGTGAAGGCTTGAATGACCGCGGGGAACCAAAGCCCGGCTTCAAGAGCTTCGCGCTGTACGTTGCACAGATCCAGCCTGTGATCATGGCTTGGGACGGTTGGCTTCATGGCATGACTCGACACTTGCGTGAGGAAAAGATGTTGGCCGCGCTGGCTGAGGGTGCGCCGTCGAGTTTGTTGCAGCTTTATGCCATGATGCTGGAGCCGCCCCAAGAAAATTTGTCCGACCTGCTCATTTTGTGCGGATCAATCGCTATGTCCATCCTGACCGTTGCGGTGGGAATCAACAATGCTTATGAACTCTGCGTTCCTGAAAGTCACAAACTGGAGAAAAACATTTTGCCACCAGGTGCCTTGCTATGCTTCAGATGGTGTGACAGTTTTTCGCGCATTGGTGCTTGGGCATTGCTGGGAATGTGTCTTCGGCCGATTGGTGCCAAACTTCATGGCATACAACAGCCGTATTTGCCTTTGATACTGGCAGCGGAACTGCTGTTGATTGTAGCAGTCTTCAAATCCCGGAGTTTTGGGCTGAACCTGGCATGTTCTGAGCTCTTCAAGAAAGAATTTGTCGTCAGTGTCATGGCTAGCTTCCTTGGCACCTACTGGTGCTGCAATACGGCAGATTTAGCAGCCCAACATAGGCTTTCCAGATCTTTGCTTGCGCTCCGTCTTTTACAAACCTTGGGCACATTGTGGTTGTGCGCTTGGTCTTTTTCCATTGCAGTTGGAAGTGAATGCCTTGCGGTTGAACAGCCAGCTGTGGTGATGGTCGCTTTGCTGGTTCTGTTCACCTTTGCCTTGGCATTTCTCACGGCACTGGCGCACGACGTCGCCATGTCGTTGTTTGCTTTGCCCTTCTTCCCTGTCATCGCTGGCTGGAAAGGCGGGCGCTTGGAGCTGGCAGCGCGCTTGGGCGTGGCATCGCAGATTCCACGCCTGCTGCGATCAGCGGGAGGAGACGTCGATGGCGCGGCGGCGCTGTGCCAAGCTGCTGAGGCTGGGCAGAACTCAGCAATCCATGCCTTGGTCGATGCCGGGGTTTCGCTCATTGCGAAGTGCCAAGCTTCCAACGGCCATTTGGAGGTCGTGGAATTTCTGCACAGTGCTGGGTGTGACTTTTACAGGGTTGACAATCGTGAATACACTGCTGCAATTCTTGCGGCCGAACACGGCCATTTGGAAGTCGTGAAATACCTACATAGTGCCAGGTGCGACTTTAACACAGCTGCCAATAGTGGATACACTGCGGGAATTTGGGCGGCCAAAAATGGCCATTTGCAGGTCGTGCAATATCTGCACAGTGCCAGGTGTGACTTTAACAGGACTGCCAATAGTGGGTACAATGCGGGAATACTTGCTGCTTCCAACGGCCATTTGGAGGTCGCGCAATATCTGCACAGCGCCAGGTGTGACTTTAACAAGGCTGCTAGTAATGGATATACTGCAGGAATTCTTGCTGCTTCCAACGGCCACCTGGAGGTCGTGCAATATCTGCACAGCGTCAGGTGTGATTTTAAGAGGGTTGCCAATAATGGATTCACTGCCGCAAGTCTTGCAGCCAAAAACGGCCATTTGAGGGTCTTGCAATTTCTCCGTTCTTCCGGTTGCGACTTTGGGGTGCATTCTTTGCACGCAGCCACGGACAGCGGTCACTTGAGCGTCGTGGAATTTCTTCTCAGTTTTGTGGATGTTAACGCTGCTGGCATCGGACGTGCTCATGCTTTGGACATCGCAAGGGCAAACGATCCCAACGGCCCAGTGGCCAAAGCGTTGCTTCGTGCAGGTGCCGCTCCCGGCCCTGACCCCCGGCTGGTTGGGTTGACAGCCTTGAGACCGCTTGAGACACCGCCGCACGGCTACGTTTGGTTGACCTGCGGTGCAGCAAAATTGGCCCAGTGCCGAGGCAAGTTTTATCACGAAATGCAGATCTTGAGCGAGTTCCGCCGCCCTCAGCTGGGTTGGCTCAGTACAGATTTCGAGGGTGGAGATGATAAAGATGATAAAGGCGTCGGAGATGATGCCAACGGCTGGGCGTTTGATGGGCAACGGTGCTGCTGCTGGCACGGTGGGAGAAGGGAACCGCTGCAGATCGCACCGTGGAAAGTCAACGGTGTCCTTGGCTTTGCCATCGACCTGGACGGGGGGCAGATGCAGCTGCGCACTGAGCAGCAAGAACTGACCATGCCGTTCAAGGCCCACGGAGCTGTGTGCTCGGACCCGGTCTTGTGTTTTTTTGTTTGTTTTGTTCGCAAATCATTTTGGTGGATGCCGTCCTTCAAGATCCAATCACATCAAGAAAGACAGCACTTCGAAACTCCTTTGGGTAAGTTTAAGATCGGCTTGTTTTTTGGCCTGGCGGAAACCACAAGGTACCCTGCAGCAAGCATCAAGGGTTTCTTTCGAATGCATCTGGCCGAAGACAGTTGGAAGCTCCAGCCGCCTCGAGAGTACAAAGAGTGGGGTCGGGGGGGCTTTTCGTGGAGCGACTAGCCATATTCTGGCGAAAAAAGAGAAAATTGGACCAAATCCAGTTGAAAAAAATGGCGCTGGGTTGATGCTGTGATGTTCTTGACGATGGACAGGACATGAATTTGCAGGCGTTTGCTTGTTTTTTGCTTGTTGAACTGTTCATGCAATTGGGATGATGGAGGTGGCAGCTGCATGTGAGAAAGTCGGCTGAAGGTGGTGATCGCATGCCATTTGGGTATGCCCCTGGGCTGCATTGCTGCCAGGTCAATGGACGGACGGTTGGTTTGGGGTTCGTTAACTAGGATTTGACATGAAGCGCGATGGTTGTGAGCCCATTTCAAATTAAAGGGTTTTTTGCGCAATGCCACTGAGCATTGTTAAGCTGCGCTAAGTCCACGTAGGTCCGCGGGACATGTGCGCTTCCACTTTATCAGCGGGTGCGGCACAACAAGCTTAATCGAAGGTAGCAACTTTTGCGGCTTGCAGCAGTTCCTTTCAACTACTTCCAGATGAATCCCCGTTCTTGGTTTTGAAGCTACCCTAGTACCCACGAACAGTCTGTGATTCGCACCGACAGACGGATACCAAATGCCATGCCCTTTCAAATCCAATGAGCCAAACAGGAGTATCACCAAGAGACTGCTACATAGCTGCTACGTTTCAAGCGCTCCTCACCATGCTTGTATTTGCTCCTGAGGATTCGGATCGTGTCGCTGCTGAACTGCAACTGCAGAAGCGAGTGCGGCAAGCCGAGTTGGCCCTGGCGAAGGAGGGGGGAAGGGCCTTAGCAGTCAGCCCCATGTTTTCCTGTCATGTTCTTAGTTCGCTGAATGTGCTTCCCGCATGTAATTTGGGTATTGGTTGCAACCTATCGCACAATCTCTGGGGAATGAGCATCCAATTACCAACTCTCTTGCCGTTCACCCAGTTGCCAGCGACTTGACCCATGAAAATTTTATGACGTGAAGATGGAAGAAACTGTCAGGCTGATCGTCCATTGCCGCAGGACTGAAGTGAACGCATGGTAATGGGGTTGTCGCACTGGTGCCGATGACTTTATCCCGGTGTGGTAAATAGACCATTTTCGTAGGTTGCAGTTACGCATCAACTTTAAGATGGTTGCTGGTAATCATTCCCTATTGACCGGGCGCTTCTTTAATGGGAAATTCCGCCACGCATACTTGTTGCCAGACTTGGCTAACTCGTTGACCTGCGAAATTCAACCAGTCCATACTAGAAATGACCAGCGAGCTGTCTCCAAAACGGTCTCCATTTCGGGTGGTTAGAGCCATCAAAGTAATTTCCGTGCACAGGAGCCCCGTGTGCCTTCAACACGTGAGGCCTGGGACCGATCATGAAAATTCCCATGATATCACCCCCAGCATGCAGCCTGAGAGCACCGATCTTCACCATTTGCACCATCTTTGGGTGGCCTGTGAAGAACTCTATTGATGGGGGCCGCGTGCTCGAGTTGTGTTGTGCACTTTGGCTTTGCGTTAAAGCTTCAAATTCTTTAAGATTTAGACTAGATTTCTTCGTCCCCATTGAGTATAGGCGGCATTGTTCATCCTGCAGGTCGTTGCCAGCCCACGCAGCCCTCACTTTGGCGTTCAGATCCAAAGGTGGCCCGGCGAATCTGGATGACTTGCAATGCCTTCGCCGCGATGCGCCTATTTTAATGACGGTTTTCTATGTGGGGCTCTTCCCCAACATTGGTTTTGGTTACGTTCAAATTTTCAAATTGAATCATCACTCAATCGTACGGAGGGGATGAAATTCGATTGGCACTTTAAAAGGATGGATGATTTGGGCACCTCGGTCCTGAAGAATCTTGAGCATGACGGCGGTTTTTGATCCAGTGTCTGAGAAGTGCTTTGAAAGATTTGGGGAGAACATGCCGAGGCGTGTCCTGAATGACTTTTCATTTTCTGCAGATGTTAGAATTGTGTGTGCTGACGTTAACTTTGCAAAGTCTTTGTGGGAGGATCTTAAGGGCTTCCAGGGCTTGTTGGGGCAAACGTCGCCCATCTCTGGGTGAAGTCTGTTTGAAAGTTGCGTAGAACATATCATTGTGTAAGAATCATGGCTTTGTCTGGCTCCAGCCCCTCGAAATCTCTGTTCCTCTCAGATAGGGGTGAAGCGATGGCTTTTACAGGTGCCAACGTTGCCCAGATTTTTGGTCAGATCCAGCGGATATTTCCAAGTTCGGCCAGGGCCAATCCCCTTGGACACCTGGACGACATGACAGTCGAAGTTCCACCTGTTCCTGCAGGCCACATGCTCGAACTGGACATAGCATGGTTCATGGCACAGCGGTCGAGATTAGCTGTTATCATTGATTTTGCATTGCAACAGTACATGAACAAAATATATCATGATCAAGTGTTGTCCTACATTGTTCTGTGGAAATTCTCTTTTCTATGGGTCGCGGTTCGACCGTGTGTTTCAAACACGTTTCGCTTCGACCCAAAATAAAGGACACTGATCTCCAATGAGCAGCATATTCTTTCACAGGATGACCACATTGCAATCCAGGTTTCAGCCGAGTACAGGGCTCTGGCAGTCCTGAATTTCGTCAACGTACGGTCTCCCATCAAAAGGGGATGGCCGGATGGCCGCAGTTGCTGTGGTGATCGGGTAGCGTTGCTGACATTTCCAAATGATTTGTTGGTGTCTATTTTATTTTGCCAGTGCTATAAATCTTATAAATCCATGGGGTTCCAATAAAATCCAAAGCCCATGTTTCGAAACGTCCTGACCATCATTTTTTGCGCGTCGGTCGGTATCCATAGTTTTGTAGATTCAATGATCGTTTTTCACAGATTCAAAGTTTTTGGTGATGGGCATCCCCATTGGAATTGCTGGCGAGCAAGGTGTGGATGCCATTCGTTGCCGCTTGCAGTCCCTGCCAGAAGCACAGGCTTGGAGCGAGGAAGCCTTTCGGCGGTCCATTCTTTTCCAAGAAGCCTGGAGATTCCGAGAAGAAATCCAGCGGATAAGAAAAGAAAAGATTTGAAATATTGAAGAATCCAATTTCCCACTTTGGGCCTTCCTTATTTCACATTTTTTGTTGATTCCTTTTGTTACTTTTGTTTTGACTCATGGGCCACCATTGGCATCTTTGCACCTGACATCGCTTCAGGAAGCCTACGAAGACTTGAAGTCCCGGCTGCTTGAGGCTGCGAGCGGTGAATGGGCCACTTCGGCTTTCAGTACAGTGACAGGCTGCAAAAATGCAGGCGCTATTTCCCCCCAACTAGTAGACATCAGTAGTATGTACCAGCTGAACCGGATAGCGAAGCTTGCAAACCCCAGGCATAGCAGCATCGTAGGGATACATGTACACCACGGCCGGTGGAAACCACGTTGCCAGGTCCAAAGCCAACAGCTTCAAGCGGCAGCCAAGGCCCACCAATGAGATAAATTTGCAAAAGCAAGATGCAGCCCACGAACCCGAATGCAGTCACGTAGACACTTTGGTGAAACAAGTTATTTGAACAATCTTGTGCATTTTTCCCCTGTTACCGTACCAGTGCACTGTAGACTGTGGAATGCGGAAGAGGCTGGAGTGCAAAGTGTCGCGCGTGGGGTGTAAAGTGTAGTAAGTGTAGAGTGTAAAGTGTGGAGTGTAAAGTGTGGAGTGTAAAGTGTAAAGTGTGGAGTGTGGAGTGTGAAGTGTAGAGTGTACAGAGTAAAGTGTGGAGTGTGGAGTGTAAAGTGTGGAGTGTAGAGTGTAAAGTGTGGAGTGTAGAATGTAAAGTGTGGAGTCTGGAGTGTGGAGTGTGAAGTGCGGAGTGTATGTAGAGTGTGTGTGTGTGGAGTGTAGAGTGTGGAGTGTAAAGTGTAGAGTGTAGTTTTTGGAGTGTAAAGTGTGGGGTGTGGAGTGTAGAGTGCAAAGTGTAGAGTGCAAAGTGCAAAGTGTAAAGTGTATAGTGTTGAGTGTAAAGTGTAGAGTGTAGAGTGTGGAGTGTGGAGTGTAAAGTGCGGAATCTGGAGTGTAAAGCGCAGAGTGTGAAGTGTAAAGTGTATAGTGTGGAGTGCAAAGTGTAGAGTGTAGAGTGTGGAGTGTAAAGTGTGGAGTGTGGAGTCTGGAGTGTAAAGTGTAGAGTGTGGAGTGCGCAGTGTGGAGTGTAAAGTGTACAGTGTGGAGTGTAAAGTGTGGAGTGTAAAGTGTAGAGTGTAGAGTTTGGAGTGTAAAGTGTGGAGTGTGGAGTGTGCAGTGTGGAGTGTAGAGTGTGGAGTGTGGAGTGTAAAGTGTGGAGTGTAAAGTGTAAAGTATGGAGTGTGAAGTGTGGAGTGAAGAGTGTAGAGTGCTGAGCGTGGAGTGTAAAGTGTAGAGTGTAGAGTGTAAAGTGTAAAGTGTGGGGAGTGTAAAGTGTGGGGATTGTAAAGTGTAGAGTTTAAAGTGTGGAGTGTGGAGTGTAAAGTCTAGAGTGCGGAGTGTAAAGTGTCGAGTGTGGAGTGTAAAGTGTAGAGCGTGGAGTGTGAAGTGTAAAGTGTGGAGTGTAAAGAGTGGAGTGTAAAGTTTAAAGTGTAAAGTGCGGAGTGTAGAGTGTGGATTGTACAGTCTGGAGTGCGAAGTGTCAAGTGTGAAGTGTAAAGTGTAAAGTGTGGAGTGCAAAGTGTAAAGTGTGGAGTGTGGAGTGTAGTGTGTGGAGTGTAGAGTTGCGCTTGCCACACAAACGACTTTCGACACTTGCAGACACGTGAGAATACACCAAGGGCCTTGCCTGCCACGGAAAAACGACATGGCAACCTGCTTGGAAACCTTCGAAAAGGAGCGGTTTTGCAGCTTCCCCCTGTAAAACACGGCGATGCCACAAGAAAGCCAGACAATCGAGACTGGACATGTAGGAGCCTCAAAAAGAGCATTTCGTGGGAGACCTCCTCCAGTTTTCATGTTTTGTAGCCTCAAATTGAAAATCGACGTTTTCCGGCGAGTTTTCGCATGAACCTCTAAATTTGCGACCTCAAAATCGATGTTTCGTGCGAGGCTTCCGTCAATGGTCAGCACATGTCACAAAATGCCACGCCTGCCACGGAATTTGCACGTTGTCACTTGTCACCACTTCACGCAGCCCTGACAATGCGATTCGCAAAAACACACAACACGACACGTCGAAAGTGCTGCACCTGCCACGCGAAATGACGATGGAGGTCGCGAAAGTGCTGCGCCTGCAACGAAAACTGGAACTCAGAAGCACCTGCCACACATTCGGGACAAAACTGTCAAAATTGACGGTGGAAAACCATGAAACCAAGTTGATGTTTGGAAGATTGCTGGAAGCCGAGTCAAAATCAGAGTAATGTAAAACCAATTTTCCGTGGTTGAGTCGAGTCATCAAAACCAGATTCCATCAATGAATAATTGCATCAATTTTGGCAATGACAGCCGTTGATGACAACCATGAACGACCGTCGAGAATCTTCAACAACCATGAGTGACCACCACTAATTCCCCAAAGCCATCAATGGTTACAGTATCACATGTTATCACCATCATCAACCACAGCAGCCATGGGTGCCACCAGCAGCTCCCAACGCACTGTGCTTGGCAGGTGAATCCCCAAGCAGAGGCAACGCCTCAGGTGGAACGCTCCGAGGACGGAGTGACAACTGCAGGGCAAAATCCTGAAGTGTGGGACCCAACCCGTTGATGCAAACCTACAGGAAATGTAGTTTGAAGTATATGATATAGTCTAGTCCTTAATTCAGGGTCCGTTCAAAGAACTGTACTTGTACTTGACAAAAAACTGAGCTGCAACCATCTCCTGAGATGTTCAGTGGCAGTCAACCTAGAGACATACTCTTGGAGAAAGGAGGCGTTGACGTTTTTGCCAATCAACTGCACCAATGATTGCTTTGTGATCGTTTGCAGTAGGATACCGCATCAAAGTGGGCGCTTGAAGTCTTCCCGACGCGTTTCACAGTGGGTTTGGCAAGCCTATAACGGATTGATGGCATTGAAGACTGAAAGATACGGAAAGCCATGGCCTCGACATGCTGGCAGCGGACAGCTCGATTGGTTATTTGCACATGCTGCTATCTCACATGTTTGTAGCATGTTGGATAGCTTACGAATGTTTTGACGATCATTAGATCTAGATGAAAATTGAAGCTGCACTTGTCAGCTCAAGATAGGAGTCAGCTCGCGTTGCCAGCTTTGAATCAGAAATTACTTGAAAATGGCATGTTCATAGAGGATATGGAAAGATATTTCCGCAATGGCAGGCAGAGAATGAGGATTTGATCCAGCGATTAAGGCTGGCCATGGGCAGTTCTTGTGGTTGTCCAAGCTTTGCTGAACATAAAGTTGAGGTAGATGTGTGCGGCATCTCTGTCAGTCTTTGCGCAGCCCACTTTGAATACCTGAAACTGATCAGACAGGAAACATAATCAGCCATTGGTGGTTTCTGGATAATTTCGTTTGTGCACTAGACTGATATTCTTGATTGATTTGCTTCATTTGTTTATGTCCACATTACTTTCCTTTCCATGATGTACCCATGTTTGCTATCCACTTTTTGCGAGTCCTCATTGGTTGATATCTCCATGGTTTGTTAACATTCACGCCCAATCCTGCTTGTTGACCTGGTTGCACTGTTGCCCGTCTATTCGTTGCATGCTTTGTTTAAGTCATTTAGCATCAGCACATTTTCTTGATGTGCCAACTGTTTACTGCATGTTGCGTTGATCACATGGCCCCACCTTTGGAGCCTCCATGGATTCGCCTTCGCCTGGTGAGCGGTGTCTTGCCAAGGCAGCAGGAGATGACGAGAAAAGTCTGTGATAAATGGAACACGGGTCTGTTTTACGTTGGTTCAGGATGGTTCAGGCATTTTAAAGACAATGTGTTTTTGTTTTCAGTTGGTTCAAGGCACGCTTTGCAGTTGGATTTCATTGCAAGATTGTCTTAAAGCAAGTCTAGGAAAGGTGCAACTCATCCAATCTAGGGGGCTTTGAGTGTTTGTTGCTTCAAGTCAGATCTTGAGAGATAAAGTCTGATAAGGTCCCTTCTCTGCTGGTGAATATCCCCATTCATTTGTCTCCACTTCCTCCATTCTTGTCGGTTCAATCCCGATTTTTTTGCTAGTGATTTCCATATATTTCCATCATTTTTCTGGATCGTTGCAAGTTACATCCCCAATATCCAAAGCCGCTCTCCAAGTACCAGCATTTGTTTAGCAAAGACATTAGTTGAAACCTGTTGATATTCTGAACAATTTTTGCATTCTTTTTACCCAATTTAGTAAGTTGAATTTAGTGAAGCTCCAAGTGCTACACCAGTTTTTCCACCGCCCCGATGACCCAAGGCTCCTACGCTGGGCAGAGCGCCACGGCGCCACCGTCAGTGCCTCCTGGCGCGTGCTGCAGCCCGTCGCGGGCAACGGCGACCGTGGCGACCCGGGCGACCGCACCTGCCATGCGACCGAGCGGTTGGAGGAAGGCATAGCATCCAATGATGGGGAGATGGTTATAGACATAATGCTGGCTTGATATATATATATAATTATATTGTATATATATAATATGTATATATTATATATAATATATATATATATCGTTTGATGATAACGATGAGAATTATGTCGGTTGCTGGTTGTTGGTTGATGATGGTTGATGGGGATATATGGATGGTTTTGGTTATTTTGGTGGGTTAAATTATGATGGCCTTTCCGGTGTGGATCAAAAGAACTATGGAGATATGGTGTTTAAACCCTGGTTTGACAGTGCGGAATTATGTAGAAATTGGCATTTGATCATCCCACACTGGAAGGTTTGGTGGTGATGAAAGATCATCAGTTTGGTTGGGCGGTGTTTACCAACCAAAAACCAACAAACGTAGTATACATGGGAGTTTGGTTGAGATATTTTACCAACCATCATCCAAGAAAAATGTGGATACTTTTTTGTTTGACAGCTTAATATGCTATAATGATAGTTGGGCGAAAACCAGAAACAATGTTGCATTTAACAGATACTGACATGTATTATAGTTGCAACAGACATAGTCCAGAAATACATAGATTTTCCACATGTAGCCACCAGAAATACATCGTTTTCCATATCAATGACCTCTGTCTCCACACGGTCTGCCGGGGGAGGGGTTTAAAAAAAAAATCCGGATCAAGAAAAAAATTTTCCGGATCAAGAAAAAAATTTTCCGGATCAAAAAAAAAAAATCGGTCTACAAACAATAGCAACTAGTAGGAGAGAAGGAAAGGAAAAGGAAAGAAAAGGAAAGGAAGGGAAGGGGAGGAAGGAAGGAAGGAAGGAAGGAAGGGAAGCAAGGAAGGAATGAAGGAAGGAAGATCTATCTGTATCTATCTATTTCTATCTAAATCTATCTATATCTATCTATATCTATCTGTATCTATCTATATCTATCTATATCTATCTGTATCTATCTATATCTATCTATATCCATCTATATCCATCTATATCTGTATCTATATCTACATCTATGGCTGTATCTATATATCTATATATATCATATATCTACAAAATTATCTATATATCTATATCTCTATTTATATCTCTATATATCTCTATATAAATCTCTATATATCTCTATATATATATCTCTATATATATATATATCTCTATATATCTCTATATATCTCTATATATATATCTATATATATCTATATATATCTTCATACATCTATCTATCTATCTATCTATCTATCTATCTATCTATCTATCTATCTAGGAAAATATATCTATATATCTATATATCTATATCTTTATATATATATATATCTATCTATATATCTATATTTCTTTATATCTATATAAATATCTCTATATCTATCTCTCTCTATTTATATTTATATATTTAGATACCACCATATATCTATATATCTGTATAGATCTATCTATATTTCTATATATGTATATATACATATATCTTTATATCTATATATCTTTAAATCTATATATCTATTTATCTATATATCTATATATCTATATATATATCTGTATATCTGTATATATATATATATCTAAAAGGTTTGCATTATCATCCGGATGATATTCAAACCCCAAGCCAACCCTGAACCAAACCTTATATAAATAGATCTTAAACCAACTCGATGATAACATCAAATGAAACTATTGTGCATCGTTGTGCCTTAACCTACATTCCACATGTTTCCAAGGTGCATGTCGTGTAGTGTATACACCTTGAGTATCACATTCAACCTAGCACCTTGCATGTGAAAATAGGTGTTTCCAATCTGCATTGGGGGGGAGGCCCCCCCAATCCCCCCCTCCCGTTTTTTTTCTTTAAATTCAAGCTTGCACACATTTCAATACACTAGTTTGGTTAGACTATATATATATATACATTGTATATACAATTATATATATATATATATTGTATATATATACATATGGTTGTTTATATACACAGCTTTCATCCCAAAATAAACTGTAAATAATCATGTGCATGCATATGCGTCCACATAAGTATAGTTATTTGTATGTACATGTTGTATCCCTAAATAACCCCTAATCCAACCCTAAACAAACCCTAAACAGACCCTAAACCAGCCCGAAAGAAACCTTAAAACCAACCCTAAATAGACCTTAAACAAATCTAGAATAAACCATAAAGCAACCCTAAATAAACCCTAAAACCAAACCCTGCAGATATATTAATTACACTTGTAAATACATTGATATACATATGCATATAGTCATGATTAGTTATGCATGTATGCCTCTATACATCTACAGTTTATAGTTTGCACATCATGTATCTCCAAAAATCAATGAACACTTCGGAAGAAAAAACAATGAAAACAATGTAAAAATCAATGAAAACTTTGGAACAATGAATGAAAACCAGTAAAACATGAATGAACACCATACAAAAATTGAAGAAAAACATAGAAAATTCCATTGACAAATGGAAGAAAACCACGGAACAATCGAAGAAGACCATAGAGCAATTGAAGAAAACCATGGAAAAATTGAAGAATACTATGGCAAAATTAACGAAAACCATGGAAAATCCATGAACATCTTGGAAAATTCCATGAAAATCATGGAAAAATCAATGAAAACCATGGAAAACTCGATAAGCACCATGGAAAAATTCATGAAACCACTTGAAAACTTGATGAACAGTGCGAATGAGAGATTTTAGCTACAAAATGCAGCAAATGAGAGATTTTAGGTGCAAAAAGCACGGAAGGGAGCCTGGACGACCAAAAAAAAAAAATGCCAAAAAAAATAAAAAATTGCCAACTTAATTTCGCGCCCGAAAAGAAGGAAGGAAGGAACAAAGGAAAGAAGGAAGGAAGGAGGGAGGGAGGGAGGAACGAAGGAAGGAAAAAGGGAAAAGGGAAAAAAAAACTGAATAATTTTTTTTTGATGCTTTCGAGCAGCTTGATCTCCCCTAGCCTCGGGGGATCAAGAAAAAATATTTCCAGATCAAAAAAAATTAAACTTAACCTACCACTAAATTTAGATGAAATAGGCAATATTTTTTTTTAGATCCTAGTGTTTTAATTTTTTTTTGATCTGGAAAAATGTTTTTCTGATCCTCCACTCCGGTCTGCCGGTGCTAAATCCAGGCCGTGTGCTGCTCCGCCTGCCTCGCGCCTTGGCGCTGGAAGTGCCACCAGACAGCGGTCCGCTGGGTGTAGAGCCTGGGAACCCAGCTGGGCTGACGAAAATGTTGCTAGAATCCAACCATTACCCTCTGGTAAATTAACATAGACCCTGGCAGTTGTCGGGGTTGGAAAACTAGTTTCCATTAAAGATTGGTGATTTTCAGGGTCTATGTTAATTTACCAGGGTGTAAACCATGGCTGTTAACCAAAAATAGTTAACATAGCTATTAGTTATTGGGATGAGTAACCATTAATAACCCTTGATAACCATAGTTAATGGGATTAGTAGTCAATGCTTCATAGCCAATGGTTGATGATTAAGCCATGGGATTTACCATAATTAATGGGATGTGTGCCATAGTTATAACCAAAAAACAACCATGGATGTTGATGCCGCTGGGTTGCTGAGACCAGACTTCCTGGCTGCTTTGCGATGTCAGGCTGGGAATGACGGAAAATCATCGGATCAACGATTTTTGCCAGGGATGTTTCAGAATCTTGTCATCAAAATCCAAAATCCAGCTGAGGGTTGGGTGAAATCCATCCCACTTTGGGCAGTTTGGGCAGTGGAAATCTGCGGCCGTGCACCGCTGTCAGGCACATGAAACCTTGGTGCAAGGAGTGCCTGCCAGTTCCTTGACGCGAGGGTTATTCTTGGAATGATAGATTGTTACAACATTTATATCACTGTGTATCACCAAAATATCCAGTTTCATCGTTCAAAAAGTTCAAAAAGTTCAAATCACCCGTATTCCTGGCTAATTTCACCTTTTGTCTTGTTGAATATCCATTTTCTGGTCGATATCCCACAAGTAAATTCCTCATTCTGACGTCCAGGCAGTGCACTGATGGTGGCGCTGCTTGTTTGTCGTGAGCGTCTGCAGAACGACTCGGCTTTTGCGGACTATTTGGACGGATCTTTGGGGATGGAAAGATGTGAGTTTTCCTCAAAACTAATTAAGAAATAGGAGTTTAATTAAGTTTAGTTGTAGATTCTAATGATTCTAATGGGAAAAGTAGGAATTTTATCGAACAAACTGAGTTTCTGCCAATGGTGTCCATTCAAGAAACTCGAGCAACATGATCTGGACTTGAGTCAAACCTCACCACATTCCGGCAGTCAGGACTCCTTGCCCACCTCCTATCCGACGATGCCGCTGCTGGATGAAAAGCCATCCTGGGATGCGGACAATGCAGAAGTGGAGGATGAACTGCAGGACCAACCGTTGACTCCGAACGAGAGAAATCTGCCATGGATACTGAGGAATTAGTCGAGTCAAAACAGCAACTCTCAAGTTATCTTTGCAATTCCAGCATGTTTGCATATGCACTGAAACCTGCGGCCCCCGCCGCCGTAGGGCCCTTGAGCTATCGTGTAAAACGGTGTGAAGCCCGTTAAGCCATGTTGCAATAGCCTTGTGAACCAGGCTCCATCTACATTTGTGGTATCAACTTCTTTGAATTGATCCCCCACAATTGCATTGGTAGCGTACCGCCCAGATCCCCTCGTGGTTCGCTGACCTTGCTGGATGTCCGTGCTCGACAGCATGGATGAGGACTACACGTCCTACGCCGACGAGTGGGACGGCCATGGCGATGACTATGGTGAGGGAGAAGAAGAAGGGAGCGACCATGAGACTGATCCTGATGCAGGACTGGAGTCTGAGGACGTCGAGGGTGAAGTCGAAGATGGATCGCAGCAGCCAAGAGAAGGTGAAGAGCCAGCGGGACAAGCACCTAGTTCGCCTCCCGTGAGGCATGGCAAAAATGGGCCGAGATCGACTTCTTCGGTGAGCGGCTCGTCAGCGAGAGGTGCTGGTGGTTCTCATCATTCTCAGACTCGCTCATTGGCATACTCTCCTTCACCTGGGCCTTCAGATCCACCTTCCGGATCCCGAGATAAGGGGACCGACAAGGACAAGAAGGACCCCAGTGACTCGAAGTCTGGTGATCGCAAGAGGCCAAGAGGTAACTTGCCACCTGCACCCGTTTTCACCGGAGATGTGAAGACAGACCCTAAGTGCTTCAAGAAGTATGTGGGAAAGGTGGACAGTTACGTGGAGTTGGCTCGAATGATCGATGACAAGGAGATCGGGCTGAGGTTGCATGCGGCATTGGATGGCGCTGCTGCCGACTACCTCGAGGACGTTCCGGCCAAGACCTTCGGTGGTGAGAGCGGCTGGAAGATCCTGATGAAGGTGCTGAAGGACAAATTTGACCAGCCCCGGATGCAGAAGGTGGGGTCGGCTATGAAGTCCTTCTTCAAGCTGCAGCTGGGCAACAACTGCACTATGCGAGAAGCGTGCGACATGTTGGACAAGGCCCATCGCCAATGTCGAGATACCGGTCTTACTGTACCTGATGCCATCTTGATACATTGGTTCTTTGAGCATGCCCACATCAGCCAGGAGCGGCAGGCAAACTTGCTCTTGAGGACCAATGGGGAGTACAACTGGAAGCTCATCAAGCAGGCGGTGGAGTTGTTGTATCCCAACGTCTATGTGGGTCGAGGTGGCTACAGCTATGGCAACCGTGGTCCACCAGGCAAAGGTCGAAGTGCACACGAGGCGCATGCTACAGGAGAACCTGGTGACATTCCTACATGGGATGCCACTGAGGATCAGTTGGAGGGCTGGCTCTACGAGAATGACCCCGTGGAGGCGCTGGCTGAGGTGGAACTATGTCAAGGACTTCCAGAAGAAGTGTCGCGTGAACTACACCAAGTCTTCGCCACCCATCGGGAGAACAGACAGAAGCTGGCCAAGGCCGTGAAAGCTAGAGGCTTTTATGTCTCTGGTGGCAACAACTCCGGCAAGGGGAAGAAAGGCAAGGGTGGCAAGCCATCTAGCTTTAAGCCTAAAGGTGGCAAAGGCGCCAAAGGCGGTGGAAAGGCAAGAGGCATGTCACTAGATGAGTTGAAGGCAGTGACAGCCTGTGCCGATTGTGAGCAGATTGGCCATTGGAAGGGAGACCCAGAGTGTCCCAAGCAGAAACGTGGTGCTCACGAAGCTGCTCGAGACGATGGCGGTGAAGAGGAGTGGTATGGCGAAGATGAAGAATATCAGTGGGATGACACCTACTGGGAGGAGCAGTACGACGGACAAGCACGCTCCGCCCATACGGCATACCGCACTACATCGACTCCGACCTCTTCAGCGGCTCCTATATCGTCCTCGACCTCTACACGCGGCGCGGCAGCATCATCATTGCAGAGCTCTACGTCACGGAAGAGTCCTACGCCTTTGAAGAGACCTTTTTCAGCCTTTCCCCCAGTCGTTGAGGAGGAGGCCAAGCAGATCACACGCCACATCAACGCTTTGAAGCGGAAGTCAGCAGGAGAGAAGGCGAAGCCCGTGCAGTACGACTCGGTGCGGGAGGAGATGAAGAAGGAGCTGGAGTCAGATGACTTCCTGGCAGGCGTGCACAACGTCAAGCAGCTCATCGAGGCGAAGACCCAGAACCTGATCACCGATAGCGATGCTGCGTCGGCGGTGTGTGAAGCCGTCCGGCATTACAAGACCGAGCCCTTCAGTGAGCCCGGTTCAGCCTTCGCCCTGCTGAAGGACAAGTCCAAAGGCCCTGACATCGAGAGTTTGCGCTCTTCCAGGAGGACTTTCATGACACGGCGGGTCCACTGGGAGGACAACTTCGAGGACGAGGAGATGATCCCGGATGTAGTGATGGATCGACAGGTCCGTTCCTTGACAAGGAGGACTCCAACGGTGCAGGATGGAAGGAGCTATCTGACCATCGACACGGCTTGCGAGAACACTGTGTGCGGCATGAACGTCGTCAAGGTCATCACCCAGCGGTTCTTTGCGGAGTTTGGTGTCGTGCCGAAGTTGGAGCCCGAAAATGAGAAGTACTGTTTTGGACCTGGGGATCCTATCCCTTCGACCCAGCGGCTGAGTTTGCCGATCGGGATCATGGGACACCCTATGATCATCAAGACCTCTGTCATCGAGTTGGAGCCAGGACGACCAGATGTCCCATTTCTCGCCGGCCAAGATTGGCTGTTGTTCGTACAGGCCATCATTGACGTTGGCAATGGAATTCTCCGGATGCCCCAAATTGGCATCGAGGCCCCGCTGCTGATTGACCGAACTGGTCATTTGGTGGTAGCCATTGATGAGTTTCCCAAAGGTGGATGGCCCTCCGGTTTGGTGTCGACCTCTGTCACCTACGAGGGCGCACTTTTCAAGCTGTCAGACGAGATCTGTCCGCCGAGCCATCGGGAAACTTATTCGTCATCGCGCTTTGATGTGGTGAGACAACAAGTGAAGAAAGCCCCCAACTACCACTATGAGCCCAATCAAGATGAATTCAACCTGGACTTGCCTAGGGGACCATGTGTAGTTCCTTCTGACTATTGGGAGTTCAAGTTTGAGAAGGGCATTTACATCCGCCATCACTGCAGGCCGAGACGGCACCTCTTCACTCCGGAGGAAGATGCTGCGTCTGGCCCCGAGCTGAACATTCTCAGTGATGAACGGGTAACAAATATTTTTGGTCTTTTAGAACCCCTCCAAGATGTTTGGAAGTTGAACGGCGAGCTCAACAAACAAGCTCTACCACATCCATGGGTTGGACAGACCATTTTCTATGTACATGGTAAGCCCCCCAAACTTGATGATTTGGAGATTCACCCCCATGACGGACTTGAAGTTGTTTTTCCTGACGGTATTTCACACGTTGTGGCAGTCAAGAGCCTCACGAGTTTGCAGGGTCACAAGAAGATTCAACATTTTGACATGGCAGCCAAACCTGAGCTTTTTGAGCATGCCCCGAGTAGACGTCAGAAGAATTTTTCGATCCCTGCCCAGCAGTTTGGCTCACGAGCAGTTGCAGATCGAGCACTTCAACGACGTCAACATCGTCTTCAAGGAGGTCAAGAACTACATGGGCAAGACACTGCGGTCATGGGCAAGGATGGTCATGGCAATGGGCCGCCTTTGGTCGCTGGTGGCAAGATGGACAAACCTCAACAAGGCCATCCGGGAGTTCAAGCACCGGTCTCCGGCCTTGGTGAATTACATGGAAGCCCTGATGCGGCACTCTTCGGAAATGCCGGCCACGATCCCGCCAACAACGACCAAAGCAGCGGGTCAGACTTCGAAGGTGCTGATGCCGACATACCCGCTGGCCATTCCAAATTGCCCTCACGAAGTGGAAGCAGCACGAAGGTTGGGGAATGCGCACGGCCGTTTTCAAGAATGCATGGATTGCGGCCTGATTCGCAAAGCCCTCACCAAGGACTACACGGTGCCAATCTCCAAGGAGAAGGTGGTGGTGTACCCCTATCTGCACGGGTATCGTCAAACACCCGGCGCAAAGGCCACAAAGTTCGTGCTGGAGCCCAAGGAAGCGGCCTACTATGGCAACTTGGAAAGTTGCTACTCACTCTCATCCTCGCAGGCGTCGGGGGTCTCCATCAACGAAGTGGTGAACAAGAAGAAGGCCCCCAAGGCCAAGCCGAAATCTACCTCCAAGAGATCCTCAGAGGGCAACACGGAGGAGATATCAGTTGGGGAATGGGAGGATGCGCTGATGGTGGACGACAGTCCGTAGATTGGCAAGTACCTGGTGAAGCTCAACCTTTAAAGCCAGGTCAGCGGAGGCGGCTGACGAATAATGTGAGAAAGGCGCTGGCTTTGAGTCGCGCTTCCCGAGGAGCAGTCCAGGCTAAGATGACGTCTTCTACCTGGCCCCGACGGACCTTTGGGTATGACATCATCGAGATTTTTGGAGGTACATCTATGGTGTCGTTGCGGGCCGGGAGAAACTGGAATTTGAGGGTGTTGCAGCCCATCGACATCCGCTACGGCGTTGACTTGAGGAGCCGACGCTGCAGAAGGTGGTTACTGAAGATGTTGGATGTTTGGAATCCTCGATTGGCATTGGTCGAGTACCCTTGCACTCCATGGACTATACTCCAGAGGAATTGCAACTACCGGGACAACATGGAGGAGCTCTACGCACGACAGGAAGCTGACAGACCCTTCCTTAAGCTTTGCAAGGAGGTGTTCAAGAGTCAGCGACGACGTGGAGGTCATGCACTATGTGAGAACCCGGCCACGGCCGACAGCCAACATCAACCTGAGATTGTGGAGTTGCGAGAGGAGTTCTATGAAACTACGAGCTGCCTATGTCAGTTCGGAATGGTAAGTGCTAGAGGATGGCCGATGAAGAAGCGTGTCAGGTTCATCGCCACACACAAGCACATGACAGACTCCCTCAACGCGCATTGCCCAGGAGACCATCAACACGATCCAGTTGCTGGACGAGACACTGCAGCTTCGGCTGCCTATACACCGGATTTGGCAGATGCCATCTGCCGGGCCTACCTCGAGATCATCGAAGAGGAGGACTTCGGGCGCAAACACACGTGGGAAACGTATGAGCCACGGAGGTCTTACTTCGTGGACGTGGACCGCACCGAAGACAAATGGAGGCCCTTGTTTGACTTGGTCCAGGAGCAGTTGGCGCGCAAGGCGCAGACCTCTATGTTTCTGGATCCCTCAACAGACTTGTATCGCAAGATTCAAGCTTTGACGCCTTGGCAGATTACCAATGTGCAGCTGGCCCATCTGCCTAAGGTCAAGCGCGTGAGACCAGGCATGACAGAGTGCCATCGAGCTTCGGTGCTGATGACCAATGAGGACCACATCATCATCGAGACGGAGTACATCCCCGATGCGCAAGCCCCAAGGGAAAGATTCGTCTATCCAGTGAGGTGGGCGATCTTCATACTTGGGCATGCACCTGGCGAACCTAAAGAGCCGTCACCTGCGGCTCCGCCACCACGACAACCTTTTGAAGAAGGACCACCTGCAGAAGATCTTCTCCTTCCCGCTCTACAACAAGAAGGACTGGTGAGGCAAGATTTTGCAGGTGAGTGTTGGTTCGTTGGACCTCCGTTGACAAGTGGGCAGAAGAAGTTGGCACCCGCCTTGGTGCGGATGCATCGCAACTTGGGCCACCCACGGAAAGAAGATTTTGTCAGGGCGCTTGCACAACAGGACCGGCTAGAACAAGACGCCTTGGTCTTGGCAAGACGGTTGAGGTGTGCAACATGTGAACGCACTCGGCGTCCATTGCCGCCTCGGCCCTCTTCATTGAAGTCGACACCGGCCTTCAACACCAAGCTCTCCCTGGACTTCGTCTACCTGCACGACAGCAACGGCGAGAAGTTCCACTACCTGCACATTTTGGATCCTGCGGGTGCCTTCAATGTGTTCGCGTTGGTCAAGAGCCGGGAGCCGTCAGAAGCTTTGGACGTCTTCACGACGAGCTGGGCGAATTGGGCTGGCTATCCAGCTCAGATGAGGTTAGACCGAGACGGAAGCTTCGAGGGAGTTTTCTACGAAAAGCTGACGGATCTTGGGTTGAACCTCGACTATATCCCGGCGGAGGCGCACTGGCAAGCAGGCGATGTAGAAGCTTTTAACCGAGCGTTCAGGAACGTCGCCAACAAGCTGATTGACGAATACCAGATTCAAGGTGAGCAAGATATGAGGATGTTGGGCGCTTCAGTTGCGGCGTCCCTCAATGACAAAGTCCGTATGAGTGGTGCATCAGCCAACCAGTGGGTTTTCGGCAAGAACCCCACGATACCTGGTGATCTACTCAATTTGGACGGCAAGGTCGAGACGCTTCATGGACTCCAACGAGATGAACAACTACGTGTTCGCACTCAAATACGGGCGCGAGCAGATGCCCTGCTATCTGAATATCGAGTGAACGAAGCTCTCCAGAAGGCAGTGACAAGACAGAGTCGCCCGCCAAGACAACGATATGAACCGGGTGAACTCGTGGCTTTTTGGAGGAATGTTAAGAAGAAGAAGGGCAAACTGGTCCAACCAGGCTGGTTTAGAGGCACTATTATTGGTCCTGACAAAGGGTCTGAGGAGGGCCAACAGTCTAACTATTGGGTTTCCTCAAACGGAAGATGTATCCTTGTGTCCCTCGAACAGTTGAGGCCCGCCTTCGGGACAGAACTTTGGCCAGTCTCAGAGGAGGATCTTCAGTGGTTGGAGGACAACATGCCTGAGGAGTTCTACGATGAGCGCGGCGATCCTCCACTACCAGATGACATCCCACCTGACGCTCTCCACGAGGAGTTTGTGATTCCACCCTATGACGATGAGGTAGAAATGGCTGAGGAACTACGTCCTGCAGAAGTTCAACAAGTACCTCCTGAACTTGCTCAACCACCTGACCCTATGCAAACGTCACCGGCCCCATCAGATGCAACTCAACCACATCCTGAGTCGCCTTTGTTGACTCGGGCACCTGGCACACCTGTGGGAGGCTTACTACAGAACGCACTCCGTGAACCAGACCCCAAAAGACAGCGGCTGGGTTTGACACCTCCAGCATCGTCTGTCGCGGTGCCTGACAGCGATGAGGACGTGGGATCGGTGGAGTCGCAACAACCAGCCCATGAGACTGAGTCTATGCCTGATGCTGAGATCAAGTCCGCGCTGGTAACGGCTCTCTCCAAGGACAAGTGGGAACTGAGCGACGACGGTCAGTGGTTGGTCCGTAGACATCACCTACCGCGGCGGCAGTTGTTTTCACCGCTCGAAGTACCAGGACTACCAGTTCAAGCACAACGTCTAGGGTCAGAGAGGCACACAAGGTATCGCTATGTCAACTACATGTCAAGCTTCGACCAGAAGTCAGTGGACGTGATGTCAAAGGACTCGAATGAGACCCCTCACTCCTGGTCGGACACTTGGCGTGGGAATGGCTTAGAGACGGCAATGCACTACGATTGGACAGGCAGCACTTGGTTCCGAGTCGTTGCCACAGCCAAAAAGATCAAGGGAAGAAGAGTGAGTATGACAAGGAAAGAACAGAAGGCCCTCGACCGAGAGATACCCTATCACCTGATACCAGAAGATGAGCGAGAGGCCTATCATGAAGCACTTTGCAAAGAGTGGTCTACATGGGAACGCTATGCGGCAGTCAAGGTCTTGGACAAGGCGGCATCCGAAGCTGTGGAGAAGTATGTCGACAAGAACAGAATCTTGGACACCCGCGTATGCTATCGCAATAAGAACGCGGCCTTTCCTTGGATGCCCCCGAAGCATAAAGCAAGACTTGTCTGCCGGGGAGATCGTGATCCAGACATCACCTCTCTCCGAAGAGATGCACCTACGATGTCAAGGATGGCTATGATGGTGCTTTTACAAGTGGCAGCTGCGATGCCGGGATGGTTCCTGTTCAACGCAGACATCACCGGTGCTTTTCTACAAGGAGACCAATCTTTGTCAAGCCGTAAAGAAGCCCTTTACCTTCGACAACCTCGCGAAGGACTACCAGGCCTCCAGAAGGGGCAACTGATGTTGGTGGTCCGAGGAATCTTCGGACTGGCAAATTCGCCACGACTTTTCTGGCGACACCTTCGCGATACGTTGCTGAAGATCGGCTTCCGGCAGAGTACTTTGGACCGGGCAGTGTTCTTCTACTACAAGGAGGAGCGGCTGGTTTTGGTACTCGGAGCACATGTTGACGACTTGCTTGGCACCGGCCAGCCAGGCGCAGCGGACGAGGTGTTGGCCGAGCTACGTGCTACTTTCGACTTCGGCGCTTGGGCTGATAGCCGAGAAGATGAGGTGCTCGAGTACGGCGGCAAGCAGATCAGAAAGCTGGCAGATGGAACCGTCCTCCTCAACCAGGAGAAGTTCATCCGAGCTACAAGCGTGACAGCAATTCCAAAGTGGCGCACTTCCACTCCAAACTCCAACCTGCTCAAGTCCGAGATGACCGAGCTGCGCTCTGTCGGTGGTTGTCTCCATTGGGTTGTGGGACAGACCCGTCCCGACCTGGCAGCAGGCACTTCGTTACACATGTCGGGGACACCGACAGTAACCAACTTGTTGGAACTGAACAAGCTCCTCAAGGAGGCGAAGGTATTAGAGGGGTGGGCACTACGTTTTCGACCCATCGACCTTGAGAAGGCGAGGATCGTAGTGTTTTCGGACTCCAGCTTCGCCAACGCAGAAGGTCTCCGATCACAGGCAGGCTACCTTGTGTTCGTTACCGGCGACCAGGTGTGCTCTGTGGAAGGAGATGTGGCGACTTTGGTGGATTGGCGATCACATAAGATTAAACGGCAGTGTAGATCTACCCTGGCAGCTGAAACGATGTCCTTAGACGCAGCCGTTGATTCGGGGCTCTACACCCGGGAGTTGTTGGCCGAGATGTTGGTGGCAGACTACGTTCCTGCGCAATCTGGCCGATTGCCTCCTGATTTCCTGCCGATGCATGCAGCCACAGACTGTCGTAGCTTGTATGATTTGCTCGTCAAAGACGGGTCCTTGTCAACCACTCAAGAGAAGCGTCTTGCAATAGATTTGGGTGGACTGCGTGAAACAGCAGCCGAATTTGATGAACAGTGTGAGCAATTGGCCGAGACTTACAAGTGGGTTGATACGAAATCCCAGTTGGCTGATCACTTGACCAAGCCGAAACCACCCATGCTGTTGCGAGAGCTTTTGGACAAAGGCAAGATTGCACTCCAAACGATCGAGTCAACTGACTCTCACGAATTGTAAAGAGTTTGGGGAGTGCAATTCCAGCATGTTTGCATATGCACTGAAACCTGCGGCCCCCGCCGCCGTAGGGCCCTTGAGCTATCGTGTAAAACGGTGTGAAGCCCGTTAAGCCATGTTGCAATAGCCTTGTGAACCAGGCTCCATCTACATTTGTGGTATCAACTTCTTTGAATTGATCCCCCACAATTGCAATCTTCACTTCTAACTTTCATCTGGAGTAGCTGGCACAGGCCATTCAGATTGGGGGAGCTGCTTGGAGCGCGGAACAGTTTTCACATGTCGATATCCGGCAAACCGTGTTGGAGTGGCTGAACAGGAGCCAAAAAGCTTCAAAACCTGCCAAGCCCAGCATTTACTGAAGACTTGACCCATTTCAATCCATTTCATCCGTTTCATCAAAGTCTTCCTTTTGCACCCCCAAACGCACTAAAATTCATCAGTTTGTTGATCCCCATCATTGCTTTCCCGGATTTCCCTATGAATTTCAACTGTTAATGTTTTCTCATATGATTTTCACTTGTTTCATCCCCTTTTTTCGTTTCTGCGCTGCATCTCGAGGACTCTGCCTGGATCTACGACGGCACCGCGGTGCGGCTGCTGGCGAGCTCCGGGCAAGGGCTGGCGGGCAGCGAAGGCCTTAAGGCCATGCGGAGGCGCCATGGTGATCCGGGTGATCCAACACAGAGGTGTATCAAAGCGCCAACAAAGTGTCAAGTGCATGAAGCCAACGATTTGCCAACGATTTTTTGAGGGATGTGGGTAAGTAGCCGAGCAATTTGAATGGTGGAAATGATGACACTTTCATAGTTTGATCTGATTTGATAGTCTCATAGATATTTTTCGGATTTTGGGCCAAACAGTTCTTTGGATATTTCGTCATCACTGTCATCACTGTCACCAGCGAAAGCCTCCGAGGGTCTCCGATCGCCTGGGCGCCTCCTGGCCGAACGCCACCGATGCCCAGCTGCGCTGGGCTGCGGCGTCGGTGCAGAGCCGGGCGCACGCGCGACGCGGAGGAGGGGGGGGGCTGGGGATGATGCGAAAAAACCAGGGATTTTGGGAGAAAGCCTGGAAAATTGATGTGAAATATGTGAAATATGAGAAAACTCAGGGAGAAATGATCAAAACACATGATGATGGGCTCCTTCTTTGTTGCGTTTGTTTGTGCTGTACTCCTTGACGGCCTTATCAACTTGCGCAGTTTGTCGTGGTTTTTGTGGCAGGCGGTACCATTCTGCTGCCGGTGGCAGATTGCTTCAACCATTCGCCCTCCAACGCCAATTGCGAGGTGCTCCAACACGCTGATGCCATCGAAGTAGCAACTGGTGCTGCACTTCCAGATGTGCCAAGTTGATACCTGTATTGTACCACCCAGGTTTGTCCAAAACTGGTGGATACTTGCAATTTTGATAGGGCACATGATAATGGATTTGTGGGCACAGTTTTCGGATAAACCCCTGTTGGGGATTACATGATCAGATTTAGTGAACAGAATGAATTGTGACCATTGTGACCTGGGGCCAAGCTGTGTCCTAAGAGGTCGATGTATCGTTTGAGGTGACGAGTTGCGAAATTGATCCAGGCCAGGGCGGACCATTGCAGGGCTGTGTCCCAGGGCGTCGATGCTGACATCTTTTGACACTGGATCTAAAGTACAGATCTACGAAAGTTTGTTTGGCTGATTGGCTGCATCTTCCCTTTGCAGTAATGCCAAGTTACGCAAATCATTGCGTCTGAGCCAGTGACAACAAGACGCATGCACTGCAGCACTTGGGTGGTACCAATAGCAGCTGTGTACAGGTGAAGAACTGCTTCTGTGCTACGGGAAATTCTCAAACGCTGAGCTGTCACTGGTTTGCACGGAGACTTCCGTGTCAAAATGACATGCACATGGAAAACGCTTATTTTTCATGGGAAATTCAACATTTAGACATGTGCGGAATTTCCAGTCTCAGGGTAGCCAGAGTGCATGTCCAAGACACACGTCTTGCTTCCATCATTCCATTCCTCGCCTTCTTCCGTAGCCATAGGCTGTTCAATGCAGGGTTCACCTGTTGGCCCAACGAGCACGACTGCCTGATGGTGTCTCCAACGGAACTCTTAGCCTCGGCCGAGGAGTGCTGGGAAGGCCGATGAATCAAACTGGGCCTTGGTTTAAGTGCTTCGCGAATAAAATTTGGGCTATGTAAAGATATGTAAAGTAACAAGTGGGATATCATACATCCAGTCATATTTAGGAATATTTCCACTAGTTTAGAATTCTTAATGGAATTTCTATTGCAAACTACACATCTTTTACCAAAAACTGATCCGTTGAGTTTGGCAGGTCTGAAGCCGGAGCTGCTTCGCCAGCGCTTGCAGCAGCGCTTGCGTCACCTCGATGCTTCGCCAGCGCGGCTCACGGCAGCCATGCCATTGCTGGGGCGCCTTGGATGCCTTGGTCGTGGCAGACCAACCGGGAACAGTTCTCAAATCTGGGGGAGATTACATGAGATTACCCTCTGGTAATTTAACATAACTGATGGGAAAGATCCACCATTTTTAATGGGGAAATTCCACTATTTCGACTGGGCCATTTTCAATAGCTATGTTAAATTACCAGAGGGTAACCAGTAAATTGGGATGTTAATAGTCAACCATGAGGGATTTTGAGGAGAAAATCATGCTTTGCCTCGAAATGAGCCTTATTTGGAGACACGTCCAGATATGTTTTTGTGTTTGGCCTGGGAAAGTTCATTGGAACACACTGCGACGTTTGTTCAGAGCCGCCAATGACAAAGCTGCCTCAGTGGTCCTTTTACTTTTCGCTTGGGTGGGTGAAATCAGAGTCTAAACTGGTGGCAAACATACCTTTTAGATCTTTTAGCTTGATGTTTATAGAGGAACTACGTTTGAACACATTGTCTTAGTGGCAATGAGCAGTATGTGTATCTATCTTTACTTCAGGGATTGAACCATGCCATCACAGGAACTTCAACCTCGACCATTTGAGGAGTGGCATTCCCGCCAAGACCATCACGTTGCTCAGCGGCCTCCTGATTGATGAGGAGCAGTGGAAGGATCTGGTTGAGAAAGGAGGCAGCGGATTAGAACTTCTTGGTTGTTTTTGGTTTGAATGGACAAAATGGAGTGCATTAATTAACCTCATTAACCTCATTAACCTCATTAACTTCATTAACCAATCCAGCTAAAATCTACCAACTTGTTGGTTTGAATCTTCAGTGGCTTCAAAACGCTTAAAACATCATAAAACACCCATTTATGCCATTAAATCATATTAAATCCCCATTTTCACTGGTTAAAAACGGTTAAACCATCCATTTCTCCCCGGCCTTTCCCTTCCGTCGCAGGCGACGGTGAGCTCCACGACGCCTGGGTGGCCGACAGCGCTGAGGGCCACGCCTTGCGCTGCGCAGTGCTGGGCTGTTTGCTGCGGCTCCTGCGAGGTGCGGCGCTGCAACTTAGAAGATATCACAATCAATTAATTAACCATCAATTATATCACAATTACCATCAGTCAACCATCATAATAACCATCATAATAACCATCACTTAACCATCAATTAACCATTAATTAACCATCAATATCTATCAACTATCCATCAACTTGGTTAACCATCAATTAACCATCACTTAATCATCAGTTAACCATCAACATCCATCAATTTCCATCAATATCCATCGGTATCCATCAACATCCATCAACTATTCATGATAATATAATGATTCATCATTATACCGTTATACCTATGTAAAGTTGATACTGGCAAGTCAATGGTTGTTGAATAATTATTCACCAACGATTAATGATTATGACATTTCATACATAATGGTGAATGGTTTGATAATTGTGTAATAACCTGGAAACGGGTTGTTTCAGGTTTTTGAAGTGTTCGATAATGTTTGAATGGTTTGAACACCGGACAATCGAGGTTTGCTGAGAGTTGAAGGTTTTAAAATCGAAATTGTTTTCTCTTTTTGTGATGAATGGAAACGCACCATTTTTTTTCAAATGGGAACTCTGGCAAACAAATGAATGCTAGTTGGAACGCCAACCAATGGCGAGTTTCTTCAAACTGCTGTCAAACGTTTCAACTGGTCAAAACACATGGCCGGTTTACAGTTCCTTCTTGCTGATTCAAACCCAGCAATGGTGAGCTTCACCACCAAAAAAAGGGTCAAGTACCAAAAGAGACAGCAGTTTGATGACTCGATCAGCAACGACATGTAAGGGTTTAGATTGGCTTTGGGACTCCATCACTAGTTGGTCATGTGAAAGTGTTTTTGCAAGCTGTCCCATTCTTGGGGGAATTCATTTCTAGCCCATACGCAGGAAAACACCTGCAACCTCGTTGCATGAAGTTTCACGTGCTTCAGACCCGCTGCTTCACAGAATTTTGGCCATTTCTGGAGGATATTGTTCCATTAGCTTGCAATTTTCACCCAAAGCCACATTTAGCACACTATAAGATCACACATGCGTGTGCCGGTTTGGTCATGGACATTGTTTTTCTCCCATCACTTGGTCTTTAGATTCTTTAGATTCTTTAGAGCTTGCGCTTCTGGATTTGCTCGGAGGCCCCAGGTTGCCCTTTACAGCAAACATGGTAATGTTTTGTCCAGGAAGTCTGAAGAATTCTCAAAAGTGGGCTTGTAAAATCACCTTAGCCAGCCAGCCACAGGTGTCGTGGGGCTGCGCTTCAAGGCCACTTCTATGGAAGAGGATGCCGAGGCCATGGGAAGAGGCCAAAGAATAATTTGTTTGGAGAAAGTTCCCTGAGTTTTGTAATGTAAAGGCAAAAGATGCTGTACATAAATGTACAAAATATGTAAAAGTACCAGGCAAAGATGCTGTACTTTCACACAGGCTTAGCCTCAGGAGTCTGACCTTGGAAGCCAAGGGACTGTCCCTTGGGTCGTTGCCGTGTTCCAGGCCTTGAAAAAGACAGACGCAGCGCTGTGCGCGTTGTGCCTCGGATTGCATGTCAACATGGGTCAACGCAAACGAGACAGCCAACGCTAGGCCGCTAGGGGCTCTGACCGGCAAGTGATATCCTGTCAACCTGCGGATACCTAGGGTTTGGACATCTGCTGTTGATAAATTGACGTGAAAACCAAGACTTTGGAGCATATCGGGTATAACCGATCTATAACCGGTATAACATGGTATAACCGATCAACAAAACTGCCATCTGATTCTGAGGCCATCTGGAGCCAAAGTTGCTCTGGTACCTTGGCTCCAAGCAGGTGATGGCGGCTGCAGCCATGGTTTAATGAACGGTATTGCTGATTGGATGAATTTGGATGCACGTAAACATACGTAAACATCATGGTTTACTGATCTTTCATGGACGTAATTCGTACCGTTTATGGTGATGTTTTTAAAATTTCTTTCTTCAAGTGATGCATGTTGTGGGAGAATGAACAGACGTATTACCATATGACATCGGTTCTAACGACAAGAATGGCTGTGATAATACTAATCTGAATGAATGCAGGGAAAAAAACAATCAACAGGTCAACAAAATGCACAACTACATTTCATTTGATATCAGATATACATAGATACAATATAGATATAATCATATATTGATATCATATATTATATTAATAGATCTATATCTATATCTATGTATTGATATTATATTATATATACAGAACATTTATGGTCAGCGATCTCTCCAGGTGCGTCGTCAGAACGCCCTGCGCGTCCGCCTGGGCGAGCGCCAAGTCCTACGGCGCCTGGAAGCTGCGCTGGAGTCGCGGAAGGTCCTGTTATGGTGGACAAACAACGGGGCTTTGGGGAGGTTTCAACACGTTTCAACCCAAAGCGGAAAAACCATGGAAAAACCATGGGTGGAAACCTCCCCAAGATGATGATGAAGTACTTGGATGGAAAAAATCTATGGGGAACTTAACCATGAAAAACACCATGGATAGCAACACCAGGGACAATCTTTAGGACAACCCAAAAAGACCAAGGAGGATTGACGCGAAAAAAATCATGACAGCAGGATTAGAAACCTGGGATTATTCTTGAACTTGGCTGTTCGCACGTTTCAGAATTGCGAAGCAAAAACAATGCATGGCTAATCTGGGACTTGAAAGGTGTGAAAAGATGTGATTACCATTCATAATCCATTCATAATCCATTCATTCAATGGCCATAAGCTGTCACTGGGCTGCAGGCTTCCCTGGACGCCTCCAAGCGCCCGCGCCTGGAAAAGAAGAAATGGGACATCACTGGTGAAGAGCGGGCTTCAATCCATTTGTTTATCATAGGAACAATAGTAACAGTAGTACATATATTGCTGGATCATGTATCTTCTAAGAATCTTATTTTTTTACAATGTATTCTGGAGTTTTGGAGTATGACTAGTATGACCCACTTGTATCCATCCTGGTTGTGAAGCTTTTGATGTATGTTGTACAGTGCAAGGAATCGGTTTCCACCTCCAATGCTTGGAGTTGCGGCACAGGCGAACCGAAATGATGACCCAAGAAGCTGCAGAAGCGCAAATAGAGGCACTGTTGCGAAGCTGTTCATCGACCGGTTCGACAAATAGAAGAGATTTCACCATCAACTGGGGATGTTTTTACGGTTGGTGGTTTCCTCCAAGTCATGATTTTGAGGGAACGTGCCAAGCAGAAGCCACTGCCACTCGAGTTTTGGGACATGGCAGCGATGAACACAGTGCCAGGCCGACGAGCAAATCGATGCGGACTTCCGGAACTTGGAGGAGTGTGACGACCGGCGTGAATGACTCATTGGTACACAATACACTGCACGATGGTGGGAGGTCTTCATCTACATTGTTTCTTTTGAAAAAATGGTCATAGTATCACTGGATATCACTGGTATCACTGTTCATCTTCACCGGTGAGGTCCAAGCTACAAATCTAGCGTCGCTCGTGGTGGTTTTGGTGGGTTGACAACGCGGCGATTCGTGTCGCATCTATGGCTATCCTCAAGTAAAACCTCAAATTTCTTCAACCCCAAATAGAAAAGACCGTCCAAAAATTGCAGGGCAAAACATCTTCTCTATCTCAGGACTGTCTTCCGATGATTCTATTGGTTGGCAAACCCAAAACAAAGTTCACGTTTTGCACGAGCTTTTGCAGGAGAAGATGCAGGCGTGCACGGTGCTGTGACCAGTGGATGTTCATCTCACTTGTAGGTGGTACGATTTTCCTGCGGTACAAATATAAATGGTATAACCTCCCGAGAAATTGATTAGTCCCATTTGCTATTCCAAACTGCTGGTGATGGTGTTTTTTCCCATGCCTTTGGCCTTTGTATGATCTTTGCGCAACGTGCGCCGTTCTTGTGCTCTGAAGTTGGCGCCTGAAGGAAGAGATTAACGATGTGGCACAGGAGGGGATTCAGTTGGAGGAGCACTGGTTCCAAAAGGCCGAGAACATCCGGGACTCGAAGAATGGACCCAAAAAAATCGACCCAAATTGATCATTCTTAGGGGAACCAATGGTTGAGTTCAGGTACCCAAGTCAACATGTTCCTGCAACATTCCTCTCCCCCACCCCCATGTTGCTGAACCCGCCATCTTTGGGCAATTTTCATCGCAATGTTGCAACACAAAAAAGCGCACGCCCCATCCGTCAGTTATCATCTCCCGCACTTGTCCACGTGGGAAACAGCATCCAGGTGGAAGAATTGCAGCATGAGCTCACTGAGGCAAAATCAACCATGGCACAGAGAACTCCCAGTGTGACTGATTACCAGAGGTTGCTCCGGAAAATGGTTCGTGAAAGGCTCCATATAAACAGTTTGGTCGGTTTCGAGGTGATATGAAGTGATAACTATGACTTTCTTTGGCTTGGAAGTTGATCCATATCACCATACCCAAATGATGAAACATATGAAACATGACGGAACTTGAAGCATGAACCAACAACGACCCAACATGGCCCAATGTTTGACTTTTGCATCCACGATTTCATCCAGCTTCATCGTGGTCAGGCGAAGATGGCACCGGAGAGTGAACAACTTCAGCAGACCATGGCAGAGGACGTCCTGATTTCATGACCGGTTACCGGTTGGTTGATAAAAAACTACAGGGGCAGGGGTGCCACATGGTTGACCACCCCAGAATGGCAGTGTTATTGAGATAAAGTTATCGCTGGCAAGTTCATGAAAAATCATTGAGATATTGAGATACGTTCACTGCATTTTCTTCCAGTTGTTCCATGTCCATGTCTTTATGTTCTGCAAGGAGCTGGAGGCAAGGCTGGCAGTCTGGCCCCTCAGGCTGTCCTACAAACCCACGTTGGCGCAGTTTTGCATCCCAAAATAGACTCCGATCCTAAGGAGATGAAGGGCCAGGACCAAATGGACCAAATGCAGCAGAGAGCTGAGGCCAGCCACGTTGCGATGAGGTCCCAAAAAAATTCGGGAAGACCTCCAAATTTCATGGTTTTATGATGTTTATGTATGTACTGTTGTGATGGTTTGTGAGCATATGTCCCATGAAAATGATTGAACATGGTAACATTGCTATTTAAGATTGCATACCCCATTTTAAGATCAACCCATTCATTTGTAGCTTCAAGACCTTCAGAACGAACTTCGAGAGCAGCAGATGTCAAGGAGATTTGCAACAAAAGAGGCATCTATGCTGAGTGTGGGCCAAGTTCATGAAAGTACCTTCATTACACAAGTGAAGCGTTGCTACAAGATTGGGCCTGTTCTCGATTCTTCCTGAAGTCAGTTATTGTATGCTTCCTTTAATGTTGAAATTACAGAATGCCTTTTTTGGCACTGATTCTTTTGACCAACTGACAGATGGAATTTCCTGCTGCACAGCAAGAGGTACACTAAAGTACACTTGAGTACGAATGCGGCACTCATGCACGTTGAGAATAAAATGTAAGCTCCAAAGAACAATGAATCACCTTTCCGTTTATAGGTTCAAGACCTACAGAATGAACTACGAGAAGAGAAGCAGATATCCAGGAGATTTGCAACGGAAGAGGCGTGTTCAACTCTTTCATGTTGAGTGTTGGCAATGATCTTCTTCAGAGTGCATGTGTTAAACTGTTACACATTTGACACCTAGTTGCATTGCTACATGGTTAGCTTAGCTGTTCTGAAGGATGTCAAGTACTGTGTTCCTTCGTTTTTTGAAGTGGTAGCATGGCTGTTTCTACTTGCATTCTTTCGACTACTTGTAGGCAACCTATTGCAAACTGATGCAGGTTGCAGCCAATTGTTTAAACGGAAATAAACGGAACATGAACAGACGTGTTGGAACCACAACAGCGAACATGCTTGAAGGCCAGAGCACGTGAAGAATATCAACTTCAAGAAGAGCAAAAGGAGCTTGGAATGACTTGGGCACAAGTTTTGATTGTGCCTTTTGATGAACCGTTTCACAATAGTGGCAGCTTGTTCTGCAATTTGTTTTCGGAAGAATTTCAGAGATCAACGTGTTTTTTTACCAAATGCCATGCCATTTGCCATGCTTCTTTGTTGATGACCGACATTGACAACGCGCAGGAACGTTTTAGACGGGCCCAAGAACAAGTACAAACCAAGGCCGGTAGCAGAGTTGTATTGTATTGATTTGTTTTCTTAGTAGATTGAGTTGCATGATGGATTGCTGTTGTCTTTCCTGGTACCCCCTGCTAGGTGCCAAGAAGTTCAGTCTAGTTTACTTGAATAGACACAATAAACATCAGAAGCTGGCTGGACATGGCAAGTGCAGAATTGCAGAAAATGGCTGTCCCTGTACCTTTCGTTTGTTTGCAGGTTCAAGACCTACAGAATGAACTACGAGAAGAGAAGCAGATATCCAGGAGATTTGCAACGGAAGAGGCGTGTTCAACTCTTTCATGCTGAGTGTTGGCAATGATCTTCTTCAGAGTGCATGTGTTAAACTGTTACACATTTGACACCTAGTTGCATTGCTACATGGTTAGCTTAGCTGTTCTGAAGGATGTCAAGTACTGTGTTCCTTCGTTTTTTGAAGTGGTAGCATGGCTGTTTCTACTTGCATTATTTCGACTACTTGTAAGCAACCTATTGCAAACTGATGCAGGTTGCAGCCAAGTGTTTAAACGGAAATAAACGGAACATGAACAGACGTGTTGGAACCACAACAGCGAACATGCTTGAAGGCCAGAGCACGTGAAGAATATCAACTTCAAGAAGAGCAAAAGGAGCTTGGAATGACTTGGGCACAGTTTTGATTGTGCCTTTTGATGAAAAATTTCACAATAGTGGCAGCTTGTTCTGCAATTTGTTTTCGGAAGAATTTCAGAGATCAACGCGTCTTTTCTTACCAAGTGCCATGCCATTTGCCACGCTTCTTTGTTGATGACCGACATTGACAACGCGCAGGAACGTTTTAGACGGGCCCAAGAACAAGTACAAACCAAGGCCGGTAGCAGAGTTGTATTGTATTGATTTGTTTTCTTAGTAGATTGAGTTGCATGATGGATTGCTGTTGTCTTTCCCGGTACCCCCTACTAGGTGCCAAGAAGTTCAGTCTAGTTTACTTGAATAGACACAATAAACATCAGAAGCTGGCTGGACATGGCAAGTGCAGAATTGCAGAAAATGGCTGTCCCTGTACCTTTCGTTTGTTTGCAGGTTCAAGACCTACAGAATGAACTACGAGAAGAGAAGCAGATATCCAGGAGATTTGCAACGGAAGAGGCGTGTTCAACTCTTTCATGCTGAGTGTTGGCAATGATCTTCTTCAGAGTGCATGTGTTAAACTGTTACACATTTGACACCTAGTTGCATTGCTACATGGTTAGCTTAGCTGTTCTGAAGGATGTCAAGTACTGTGTTCCTTCGTTTTTTGAAGTGGTAGCATGGCTGTTTCTACTTGCATTCTTTCGACTACTTGTAAGCAACCTATTGCAAACTGATGCAGGTTGCAGCCAATTGTTTAAACGGAAATAAACGGAACATGAACAGACGTGTTGGAACCACAACAGCGAACATGCTTGAAGGCCAGAGCACGTGAAGAATATCAACTTCAAGAAGAGCAAAAGGAGCTTGGAATGACTTGGGCACAAGTTTTGATTGTGCCTTTTGATGAACCGTTTCACAATAGTGGCAGCTTGTTCTGCAATTTGTTTTCGGAAGAATTTCAGAGATCAACGCGTCTTTTCTTACCAAATGCCATGCCATTTGCCATGCTTCTTTGTTGATGACCGACATTGACAACGCGCAGGAACGTTTTAGACGGGCCCAAGAACAAGTACAAACCAAGGCCGGTAGCAGAGTTGTATTGTATTGATTTGTTTTCTTAGTAGATTGAGTTGCATGATGGATTGCTGTTGTCTTTCCTGGTACCCCCTGCTAGGTGCCAAGAAGTTCAGTTTAGTTTACTTGAATAGACACAATAAACATCAGAAGCTGGCTGGACATGGCAAGTGCAGAATTGCAGAAAATGGCTGTCCCTGTACCTTTCGTTTGTTTGCAGGTTCAAGACCTACAGAATGAACTACGAGAAGAGAAGCAGATATCCAGGAGATTTGCAACGGAAGAGGCGTGTTCAACTCTTTCATGCTGAGTGTTGGCAATGATCTTCTTCAGAGTGCATGTGTTAAACTGTTACACATTTGACACCTAGTTGCATTGCTACATGGTTAGCTTAGCTGTTCTGAAGGACGTCAAGTACTGTGTTCCTTCGTTTTTTGAAGTGGTAGCATGGCTGTTTCTACTTGCATTCTTTCGACTACTTGTAAGCAACCTATTGCAAACTGATGCAGGTTGCAGCCAAGTGTTTAAACGGAAATAAACGGAACATGAACAGACGTGTTGGAACCACAACAGCGAACATGCTTGAAGGCCAGAGCACGTGAAGAATATCAACTTCAAGAAGAGCAAAAGGAGCTTGGAATGACTTGGGCACAGTTTTGATTGTGCCTTTTGATGAAAAATTTCACAATAGTGGCAGCTTGTTCTGCAATTTGTTTTCGGAAGAATTTCAGAGATCAACGCGTCTTTTCTTACCAAGTGCCATGCCATTTGCCACGCTTCTTTGTTGATGACCGACATTGACAACGCGCAGGAACGTTTTAGACGGGCCCAAGAACAAGTACAAACCAAGGCCGGTAGCAGAGTTGTATTGTATTGATTTGTTTTCTTAGTAGATTGAGTTGCATGATGGATTGCTGTTGTCTTTCCTGGTACCCCTGCTAGGTGCCAAGAAGTTCAGTTTAGTTTACTTGAATAGACACAATAAACATCAGAAGCTGGCTGGACATGGCAAGTGCAGAATTGCAGAAAATGGCTGTCCCTGTACCTTTCGTTTGTTTGCAGGTTCAAGACCTACAGAATGAACTACGAGAAGAGAAGCAGATATCCAGGAGATTTGCAACGGAAGAGGCGTGTTCAACTCTTTCATGCTGAGTGTTGGCAATGATCTTCTTCAGAGTGCATGTGTTAAACTGTTACACATTTGACACCTAGTTGCATTGCTACATGGTTAGCTTAGCTGTTCTGAAGGACGTCAAGTACTGTGTTCCTTCGTTTTTTGAAGTGGTAGCATGGCTGTTTCTACTTGCATTCTTTCGACTACTTGTAAGCAACCTATTGCAAACTGATGCAGGTTGCAGCCAAGTGTTTAAACGGAAATAAACGGAACATGAACAGACGTGTTGGAACCACAACAGCGAACATGCGTGAAGGCCAGAGCACGTGAAGAATATCAACTTCAAGAAGAGCAAAAGGAGCTTGGAATGACTTGGGCACAGTTTTGATTGTGCCTTTTGATGAAAAATTTCACAATAGTGGCAGCTTGTTCTGCAATTTGTTTTCGGAAGAATTTCAGAGATCAACGCGTCTTTTCTTACCAAGTGCCATGCCATTTGCCACGCTTCTTTGTTGATGACCGACATTGACAACGCGCAGGAACGTTTTAGACGGGCCCAAGAACAAGTACAAACCAAGGCCGGTAGCAGAGTTGTATTGTATTGATTTGTTTTCTTAGTAGATTGAGTTGCATGATGGATTGCTGTTGTCTTTCCTGGTACCCCCTGCTAGGTGCCAAGAAGTTCAGTTTAGTTTACTTGAATAGACACAATAAACATCAGAAGCTGGCTGGACATGGCAAGTGCAGAATTGCAGAAAATGGCTGTCCCTGTACCTTTCGTTTGTTTGCAGGTTCAAGACCTACAGAATGAACTACGAGAAGAGAAGCAGATATCCAGGAGATTTGCGACGGAAGAGGCGTGTTCAACTCTTTCATGCTGAGTGTTGGCAATGATCTTCAGAGTGCATGTGTTACACGACTGACGCCTAGCTACATTGCCATGGAACCTTCCTATCTATTGCAAGTTCCTGTGCTCTCTTTGGATTTTTGATTCATGTTTGATTCATGTTTGACTTCCTGGTTTTTCAGGGCAGCTGCAGGGGTCACGGATGGTCATCTGTCGAGGTTGAAGCAAAAAGAAAGACTGTGGCACGAGTGGCGGAAATGCAAAGTGAGAAGCAGGATATTTCACTTCTGAATTTTCGCGGAATGTGTACAGTAATATAAACTCTATCACTTCTGAATATGTTGAGTCCTGGAGTTTCTGCTTGTGATAGCGATAAGTGATGATAAGTCACAAGTGTTGAATCTAGCTTAACATTAAAAGAGAGTTGATTACATGTTGGGCACTGTCCGCTATCCTTCGCTGCCAATGGGCTGATGATTCGGCAGGAATGTCTGCAGCAGATCGCTGCTTTGCAGGGACTGCTGGAGGATGAGAAGCAGGTTATGGGCCCAGCTATCAACGTGACCCGCTGTCACTAGCAATGGTGCTATGATCATGGTTGGTTGGATGATGATCATGAAGTTATTGGTGTACCAAAGTGTTAAGTCATACTAAGTACTAGCTGTCACTGGTTGGTTGGTTGGTTGGTTGGTTGGTTGGTTGGTTGTAGCCAAGTGATGGTCTCAATGAGGATCAGCATCGATTTCTTTGCAGCCTTGTAAGAGCAAATTGACACGTTGTGGTTTCTCCTTTACGTCAAGGCAGGTTTGGGCAAAGCACCTTTGTGGTTGGATTTGTTGGGTGGTTCTATTTGTTAAAAAGATTTCTTTAAAAAACCACGGGGGCATTTGCTTGTAGCAAATACCTGCTTAAAGGCCCCAAAATGGAGGTTCGAATTCTTTTCTTTGGACTTCATGTGGGGCATTGTCCAAACACAAAGACTTGCCCCAGTTCACATGGTGCACCGTGGTCACTGGCCGCTGGCCGTAGGTTGGGAAGTTGTTGGTATCCCAACGAATGGTGGCCGCCAAGGCCCTCAAACCCTGGGACCCTGGGACCCTGGGACCCTGGGACTGTGCTGAACGGCTGAACATGGAAATGTTTGCTTTTTGAGACATGATGAGTTGTGTGTGTGTGTGTGAGTTGAAGGCTCATTCATTGTTGACTAAATCTCGATTTCTGGTTGGTTCATATTTAATATGTTTGGTGTATCTTGGCAGTGTATACCATTGTATACCTATTTATCTCTGGCCGACTCCCCCATTGTTGGTTGCCATATCCTGCTTTGAATCTGATAAACCCATGCTCACATTGGAGAAAAGTCCCCTCATATCGGAAAAGAACCCATAGTCACACATGTTTGTTTCTAAAATATCCCATTCATTTGTTGCTGAGGCTACACATTCTCTCTTGGCAAAAGTACCCGTATTTAGTCCGTTCTACAAACATGTTCTCCGGTTAACATCACCATAATCAACCATCATGGAAATCATCAACTAACCATCATCAACCATTATTATCATTAGGCACTATTAATATTAGCATTATTATTCAACCAATTCATCAACCATTTTTAAATAGCAGTGCCTTTTCTGGTTGATTAATAGATATATAATAGATATTAACGACCATTAATGGTTGATTAATAATATTATTAATTAATGCCTATTATTCATCAACCATTAGCCATTACCATTAATATTAATTAATTAGCATCCATTAATCCATTAATCCAGCCATGCTCCAGGTTCAGGCCACGGTGACCCAAGAGATGGCCGAGATGAGCGAACACGAGGACGCCCGGATTTTTGGGTTTACCATGGGATTTTCCATGGGAAAAATGGAAAACGTATGTTATATGGATGTTAAATGGATGTTAAATGGATGTTAAATGGATTGAGTGGATTACATGGGATTTGGGGATTTTAATGGATTTTCATCCAAAGGATCTGATCAATATGAGCATCAATGGATATTGCATGGGCTTAAAAGGATCAAATGATCGTCTTCGATCAACGTGAACATCGATGCAGAAAGTCAACTGCCATCAACTACCATGAATCAATCCATGAATAGCGTGATCAATCCATGAATAGAATGCTCTATTCGTACTATCGTGGTTCTCAATATCTGCAACAAATCGTTACGTCGTTACGTCTCCGCCACTGCGCCACGGTTAGGAGTCTCAGGCGGAGCAGCTTCAGCAGCTCTTGCTGGCAGAGTCGACCTGGGCGGAGGAGTGCGTTTCCCCTGAAAGAGCTAGTTGGGGCATATTGAGACTATATGTACTATGTATCCATCTATGTATCTATGCTATGTTATCTATGTGGGGGTGGGTCAAAACCTATTATCAATTCTAATGGGATGAACATCCATTTACCAGCTATTTTGGGGTTCACTAGGGGTACAAGCTTTTGACCAATAGCCATGTCAAAATATGTCAACATCCCAGTCCCATCCCTAGGAGCTGCTGGATCTCCGCTGTGATCTCGAGCTGAAAGCGGCCAGCGCCAGCCGCGGCACACCGCGACATCCGAAGCCGCCGCGGGACCGGCGGCGGGACCGGGAGGCCACGGCGCCGGTGCCAATGTGGGGTGGCCCTGGTGGGTTGAACCTCCGCAATGGGAGGAGCGTAATGAGTTGAATCATGTTGAATCTATTGGGTTTAACACATACCTGTAGCATACATTAGCACATGTAAGGTTTGAGGTTTTTGTTTGGAAGTTTGATGGTTGATCAACTGATCAATAACAATTTGATTCTGACATGAATGGATGTTGACGAATATCGATGCATGTTGATAGATACTCATCGATATTTGCAAATGTTGATTTCAACATCTTGTTTTTAAAGCTCAGTATTGATGATTTTGATCAATGTCGATATCAGATATTGATAAAATGCTGGTGATCAATCTGTATCCCTGAGGTCTGTGGCCAACGAGTTGGCACAGCTGGAGCTGGCGCTGGGTCTTTGGGATGTCCCTTGGAAACATCTGAAGGGATGTGATTTCTGTGATTATTTCATGAAAAAATGTGAATGGAAATTCTGGATTGGATGGGTTAAATATTTCAGATGTTGTTCGTCTGGTGATGGAGGCAACAGTATTGTGAAGGCTCTTTTGTGCATTGAGACCGCCTTTGGTGTTTGCCTGCTGTTTACTGACTCTGATGTGCCAAAGGATAAGGGCATCTTAAATTTTGAGATGCATCTGCATCTACAGGTTGGACATGTGTATCCACCTCTACGCATTTATATGTATCTACATCATATACATATCATGTCCATATCTAAATCTATACCCTCTGGTAATTTAACATAGCTATTGAAAATCACCATTTTTAATGGGAAAATCCACTATTTCTATGGTCATTTTCAATAGCAAACCGTTAAATTACCAGAGGGTTTACATATCGCTTGAGATGTCCAACCACTTCCTGACCTCAAGATCTCCAGGCACGGACCCGATCTCTGCATGAACGAGACAAGGAGCGCAAAAATCAAGAGCTAAAGATAGCTGTCCCAGTAAAAGAAGAGGTCAATTACCAGATAAATCATGTAAACGACCCTTATCACCACTCAACCATAGCTCATAGCAGCTGCTCATAGCTTGATAAATGCTTACAACGACAGGATGTGGAGCTGCTTCTGCAAGCACAACTGGCGCGGGCCGAGACCAAAGCCATGCGTTTCAAAGGAGGCACTGGATGTGCACAGCAGTTGGAATGTTCATCCATTCAGCTTCCAACATCTATACAATTCTATACATATGAAGACAGAATACATTGAAATACATTGAATACATGAATATAATCTATGAATATCTCTGAACACGATGGGAAACCCATTGGTTCAACGCTTCCCAAAACGTGATCCCAACGTTTCCTAAAAAGTTTCCCGCGAGGCCAGGACTTCGCGGAGGAAAAGCTGCAGCAGCTGCGCTCGGAGCTGGACGCCTTGGGCTCCGCGCAGCTGCTGGCAGCGGCCGCAGAGGACCGCGCCGCACTGCTGGAGGAGGAGAGCCGTGGCGCTCTGCGTCGTTGCAGATCCAAAAAAAAGGGAGGGGACGGTGGATATAGCGGTGATACCCTTGATGTATTTATCTGTTTTCGAAAAATTATGACAAATCCGATGATTGGTATAATACGGCATTTCATAGTGATGAACTTCTAGATGTAAATTACGAAAGCCAGCCGGACAAGCTGGCAAGTTGCTTTTTGCGAGCGTAGTGAGAGAATAGGGGTCTGGGGGAGGTGTGCCGTCCGGGCCACTTTTTCCAGAATTAGGTGGTGTTCAGGGTGTCCTTTTGGAGTGTTTTGCAGGTAATGTACCAGCTACCAGCTCGCAAATGGGTGACAACCCCCCCTGGTCCGTGATATTGGGGCTAAATAGGTAGACAAACATTAGGGCTAAATAAGTAGACAAATAGATCAATAGGTAGGCAGATAGATACACAGAAAGATAGATGTGTAAGTAGATGAAAAGATAGATCGGTAGATAGATGGAGGGATAGATCGCTAGAAATGAGACACGGAGGGGTGGAGAGAGTGAGAGATAGACAGCTCGATGGATGGACGGACAGATAGATTGATGGATAGATAGACGGGTAGAGCTCAATAGGTAGCTAGATAGATAGATAGATAGATAGATGGATAGCTAGATCAATAGATAGGTAGAGAGAGAGAGAGAGTGAGTGAGTGAGTGAGAGTGAGAGTTACGCTGATACATGGATGGATTGACGGATGGCTGGACAGATAGGTTGATAGATAGATGGATGGATGGATGGATAGATAGATAGATAGATAGATCAATGACAAGCTGACATAGAGCTATGCCGTTCCTTCTGCTTGGGAGACTGTTTTGCGCTGGCAGTTGGTAGTTATGCTTGCAGACTTTGAGTGGGAGAAGGGACCGTAGAGACTGGCGGCTACTTTAAGAGACAGCGGCAAATGCGATGTGGTTTGCTGAACGTGGACCGTCGCGCCATCTGTCTTTGGCTGCAAGCGGATGACAGCTAGAGAGCTAGATGTGAGATGGAGACATGGTCAAGTGGATAAAAGCGTTCGCATATGGCATATGGTGAGAACAACGAACATGACAGATGTAATGCTAAGGAGAAGCGGCAGAATCAAAGCCGGCCTTGAAGAACGCATGCTGAACAGATTTCATATTTTGCCAAGAAAAAGATTACAGATGCAATGATAAGCAGATGCTGCAGTCAAACAGAACTGTAACAGAGCAGGACCTTTCCCTTCGGCCTTTGGCAGCTCTGCTGTGGAATAGTGTCAATGTCACGTGCGATATCTTTTGCATACCGTGGACGGTCATGTCATCTGTTTCTGACGATACACGTTGATACAACTGGGATCATCTGGGGTCGTGGACAAAATGGGCCGTGACAGATATGTTTGCGAAATGCAGAAGGCTATCACCGTGCGGCGTACCAATGGATATGGAAGCAGATGCCAAGAATCAAATCTAGAGTCTGCATGTTTAAATCACGGTCATGTTAAGTCGTGTCAGGCCTATGTGGGACCTATGTTAGACTTATGTTGGTCCATGTTGGGCTCTTAGAAGCCATGTTGGGGCCATATTCGTGCCATGTTGAGCTTATGTCAAGCCAAGAATGGCGTGCTCCATTTACGCATTTACCCGGCCCAAAAGGAACACGCCGTTTTTGGATCATGTCGGGACCATGTTGGGCGTATATGGAGCCTATGTTGGGCCTATGTTGATCCATGTTAGGCTCTTGGAGGCTATGTTGGGGCCATCTTCGAGCCATGTTAAGCTTATGTTAAGCCAAGAACACCGTGTTCCTTTTAAGAACTCCAATTTTGAAGGTGTTACGCACTGGAAATTAGTGAGTTAAGTAGCCAGTCAGAGAAATCGATAGAGGGGGATATTTTGTTTAAGAGACTAGAGATACGTAGCTGGCCCACAAAGTTTTAGGAAGGCGACCGCTGGAGTACGCGAAGTCGTGATGCCTGCAGGTTTGCTGCAACTGGAGGATTCCAATTTTGAAGGTGTTCTGCGCAGGAAGTTTGCTGCGATAGGCTATCGGTTCCCCCTCAGTCCGGTTTCTAGCCAGTGAAACAAATAGATGGAGAAAAAATGAGCAAAATATACTGCTCGAGAGACTGAAGATATGTAAACCACCAACAGAGTTTCAGAATGTCTGCCTCAATTTTTTCTGCGCAGTTAGGGCTACGCTACAACTGGAGGGTTTCAATGTAAGTCTTACACGCAGGCGATTTGCTGTGCGCAGGGGTTTTCATTTGAGAGCTGGCTTTTGTTCCCCCTTCTCAGGTGCATGATCTGTGAAGGCACACCATGAATATATCATTGACACACCATGGTAATAGTCCCATTAATAAACCGTTGATGCACGTATCATCTACAAGTGGGGTAGTACATTGGATACTGACTGGTGATATCCAGTGAACCCTCCAACGATCCGTCCAAGGAGCTCCATGCACAGGGTCAGATTCAGGCGGGCCGAGCGCAGAGGTTTGGTGTAGCTCTACTTCTTTTGGTTTGTTGGAGCCATTGCATTCAAAACAATGTCTTGTTTCACTGCAGGTTGTCATTTTCAATTCATGGAATCCCTGTTTGCTTTGCTCTTTTGATCGACCTATCTGACTGGTGGTTTTGGCAGGAACTTAAGGGGGCGTCGTGTTCAAAATCATCCCAAACTTGAATGGATTTCACATGGAAAATGACCTGTGGCTCACATGTTGTTTGCGCCTGTGGCTATTGGACCTTCGATTTTGCCAGGACTCACCTGCTCCAGCTAGTGAGTCTTCGTCGATTCCGCCGTCCGAGAAGGAGCAGATCCCAAAGATGGGCACACCGAACAAATGGCGACTCATTGAATAGAAAAAGTGATTTTCCGCGCAATAAATGGGAGATCATCAAAAGCGATGGGGATATACATAAACCTAGAAAATGGGTGGTTCATTGCGATTGCCTTTTGTGAACAAACCAACCATCGACAACTGGCCAAGACATGTAATAACATGTAGAAAGCAGCAATCAGCCACAGACAGGAACAGGAGTCACTCGTTCTATATGCCACTAACATCGCAATTTTCTGGGTATGAAGACAGGTAGATGTTTGGGACGCCGTTTGGACGCTGTGGAGAGATTCGTTCTGCGCAACCTCGCATTCTGTGTGGCATCTCTCAGGAGACTCCGGTGGTCTCCCCTGATGTGCAGCTCAGGCGGAAGTTGTTAGCCAGCACAAAATTGGATTGTAACATTGAAAATTGGTTTGCACCATGAAACTGATTGATATGATAAACCCAACGGACCCAATGCCATAAACCATATTCAAGAAATTGTTTTGCCCATTTAGAGGCACCAAGCCTGGAAAAGGATCAGGCAGTATCTGTGATTCAGGCAGTATCTCGTTCGCTCGTGTCCCCATTTCAGGAATTTCAGAATCACCATGATGTTGGCCGACATCGTGGTGATCAAGTCTCCATTTTCCTCATCTTTTGGTGGTTCAATCTTCATGTCAATCACTACCCCCATGGAATGTGCAGTTGAAACAGCCCCCTCTTGTTTGATGAACGTTTCCCCATGTTTCATTCATCTCCCCACTCTCCATTTCTAGTGGTCAAAATCCACATGTTCTTTTCATCAAAGTCACCATTTCCGGTTGGCATCATCAATAATTGGCGCCAATAGAGTTTCTTATCATACATACTAACTTACATAGTTACTTGTATGGTTACCAATACCACTTATATATATATATGTCTGTATGTACATACATGATTGTTTTTTACACGTCACCTTGTTTTTTGTCCTTTGTCGGCAGGCCCGCCGCGGATACTTCCGCCTTGCGTTCCTGGCGGAAGAGCTGGGCGCCGGGAGCGTTTCAACTGGAGGACACGGGGGTAATTGGGCTAATGTTGTCTGATATATTATGATACATCTATTTTCTGATGATACTTGTTTGATATATTTCTCAACTATTTATCCAATAAAATTGGTATCGTTTATTGGTTTAGCTCACATGTTGCATTTTCTAAGATATGTTCCATGTTTATCTAAATAAATAAATTGAATTATATCAGGATTATCCACGATTACAACTGAATTGTTTCCTATTTGCAGGAATGTGTGATGTTCAAGATCAGTTTTGATGGATTGATTGGAACTGTGAAACTCATTCCCCACAACCCACACCAACGCATCGCATTGCCCGTTGCAGGATTTGGATCAGAAAGAGGCACCGGCGGCACCGGCCTCAATCTTCACATCAACCTGCTGTGAAAGTTTGAAAAAGAGCAAACCTCAAAGGTAATTTCCATTGACCCCATGGTAATGATTTCCCCTTCCCAGTGATTGTGATATTTAGCGGCCACAACAATGGCAACTGGCAATGACTGGAAACCATTGGAAACCTGAATCTTTGACGCCACTGTCAAGGTGAAACTTTCGCGAGTGTCTTGGCACAGGAAAGGGCACAGAACAAGAGCAGAGAAAGAGATGCATTTCTGAGTTTCCGTTTGTGGTTGTTACCTTTGTGCAAAGTCATTATTGACATGTGTTTTTTGAAAATATGTTGGCACATATGGTTTCCAAACGCGCAGATGTGTCCCATTTATCACCTTAGGCAACGCTGACACCGCAATCATCTCGCCGTGGCTGGCGCATGTCGTGGAGCGGAGTATGATGGCGTGGCGACTCGATGCGACTTGGTGATGTGCCAGCTAAAATTGGAGGATTTTTCAGCGGAAGAAAAACATGTGATGTTAGTGAAACAGGGGATTGAAGCAACAAAGATGGGGGATCAATATGAACGCAGACGTTGCTGTTTCAGCGCACCCGGCATGGTTTCTCAGGCTTCCGAGAGGCTGACATGTAGGGATCTACCAGGTGGGAGTACGTCCAAGCAGGAGATTCGGATGAAACTTCTCCTTTCAAATTGATGTAAGTATATTAAGATACATATGATATGCAGTTACACATGCATTCTCAAATGCATTCTCACCGAAAACGGTAGAGAGATCTTTTGTTCCAACCCTGCCCTGCATTCTCTGCAGGCGCCATGGCTGGACCAGTTGAACAGCATGGGCCAAAGATGCCCGCGGTGCAGCGTTGGTGAACCGGGAGCCGCAGGGATCCTCCAAAGCGAAAACGGCAAAGTTCTCCGTTTCTGGGGAGCCCCATGGAGCCCCATTGAGCACATGGATGTTGAACTGATGAACTGATGTTGATTGTGAATATCACTTGTGCTTCTTTACCGTCGAGTTGGAGAAAAGGGCTTCGAATTCAAGGGCAACTTGAACGCTGGAGGTACTTGCAGGCATAAGATTCTGAAATTTTCTGAGGCGAGATGTGGGTTGTGTTTCCTTGTGGTGCTCTGACGGTTTGTTTGCTCCTGAGCTGATGTGCATTGTGGACCGCTATCGGCCGCTGTTCTCTCAGAGTTTCGAAAGGCCACCTGAGCCAGACACAAACGACACAAATCCTGACTTTGCAACACAGCAGCTGCATGCGCTGCATGTTTCACTTCAGAGTCTCAGATGACGTTTTGACACCAAGGATCACATGGGATTGCATTAGTTTTACACAGGTTATGACATGTTACCACCTACCAGATCCATGTGAACCTTTGCTTCAGACTTTTAGTTTGCACCACCTTGCACCTCACTTTGCACCTTTTCAAAAGCTTTTTAGCAAGCCATGTCACCATACGAAGGTGACTCCGATGTGGTGGAGAGCCCCACGTCAAAAGCCTGTCGTGGTTGCTTTTCGGTGACAGCCGTGACCAACTCCATTTTGTCAAAGGTGCCACATGCGCGACTTTTGGCAACTCGTGACTTTCACTTCCGTCGTGACTTCCGTGATTTCTGGCGACGTGACCATCCAATCGAGGCCAGTTTTAGTAGTTTTTGTGAAGTCATGGTAGGCTGCCGACAGCCAGAGCAGTCTCAACAGATGTGCTTAGAAGAGCTCTCCTTTGATGGGCTACAAGGTTTACTTTCAGATTCGAATGAGGATTCGGTGAATGGACCTGTGATGACGACAGGATTGACAGTCTGTATGCAACCCTATTTGGAAGATTTGCTGGTTCGACGGCAGGGTTTTCGTGGTTTTGTTGAAATCCTAGCCAGTGTTGCAGATGCTGATGAGAATCTCCCACAGATTCTTTCAGAAGTAACTGCCAAAGATCTCTTCATTGCCTTGTTGCTGGTGAATCCAAATCGTTTAAAGCGAGTCCGCTTGGCCACAGACTACATGACGCTAAAGGCGCCTTTGCCTTTGGTCTTTCGTCATCCCGAATGGGCCAAGGAGGCTAAGGACATGGCGGGGAGTAGTGTTTCCAGTGTTTCCAAGGCGAAAGCACAAGCAGAATTTGATTTGCTGCAAGACATCGCCTGTGTTCCCAGAGAAGGTCGTACTTTGATACTGAGTTTGGGCACAGAACATGTGACCGGCTGTGGTAAGACGACATTGTTGGGTGCCATGGGTCTAGCAACACCTGAAGATTTAGATGTGAGACCTTCAGGTCCAATGCACAACTTGTCATGCGATTTGTTTTGTGCCGATCCAGATCTCTGGTTGTTGGATGTCCATGGATCTATGGATGATGACGACCTGCGGAATGCCGTGCTTGCTTTCAATCTCTGGGGTTCTGCCGTGGCACTGGTTCACTGCGCCACCAGTGACTTTCATTCCACAGGACTGCCGCGAAAAGAACTGGTCGGACTCCTGAACGACTTGGGAAGTCACTTGACCGGAAGACAGTTGAGGGGAAGTGGTGTCATCATTTTGATCCGAGATTCAAGTGAAGAAAGTTTCGCCGCCAAGCGTCCGGCGATTGAAAGTGGCCTCAGTCAGTGGGCTGCCCTTGTTTTCGCCGTGGAGGACTGCCGGAACTTCCGGTCAGCAGCACGTCGTGCAACTGCCATGGACAAGCTCCGAGTGCGACTGGAAGATTCCTGGAAGACCTTTCGAAAAGACAGCTGCTGGTTGTTGGTTTCGCAAATCTTTCTTATGTTCCATATGTTCCCCTTCAAAATTTGACATGATATGTTAATCACATTTTTCCACCATTTTTCTTAGCATTTTTGCGCTTACTTAACAGTAATTACAGCTAACAGCAAGGCAGTTGTGGCACCAGCTGTTTGGAAGACCTGCGGAAGATCCATCAGCTCATCTCCGAGGGTCAGCTGCGCAAGGAAGCACCAGCAACCCCCAAGGCGTCGGTGGGAACGTCGGCATCGTCGTTGGGCAAAAAACTGATCCAACTGCTGGACCGAGCCTTGAAAACACCATCGCTCTACGAAACGCTCTTTCCATTGAGTGCCATCAAGAGGCGAGCTGCGGCGAGCTCTGAAAGTTTCACGGTGTGATCTTGAAGCATTTGAGCAGATGATACCAGATATATTATGATGTATTTGTTTAAGGAATACCACATATAGATGCAACATAAATCTGAGAGGTCTGAGAGGCACCGCAAAGGTCTTTCCCCGTCTTTCCCCCTGATTTCCAATTTTGGATTGAGCACTTGGATGGTTTTCCCATTTGGAAAAAGTCATATCACTCGAGTTGTTTGATCATAGCTCTGAAGGCAGTTGGAGCCTTAGATGGTGCAGTTGCTCTTTCTCTCACTTTACTTGTCCTTTTTGTGCCTTCTCCATGTGTTTAGCTACTTCCAAGACCAGCGAGGACATGGGAGCACAATCCTGAGAATCAGTTCGTGGTCATTGGACTCTCACACCCATCCATACCACCATCACCATCACCACGATGTTCGTTCTGTTTCTCTATTTTACGAAAGCCAGCTAGCTGGCTAGTTGCTGTTTGCGAACGAAGTGAGAATAGGGGGTGTGGGGGGGGGTGGTTGCCGAAAGGGAACGAAATCTCGCCGTGCCCCTGTGTTGAGCGCGAGAAAACGGAGCATTTTGCTGGATTATGTACCACTAGGCAATTTGCTGACGGTGGGGTATCGATTCCCCCTAGGTCCGCCTTTTTGGTGGCCGGAGAGACCATGAGGATGTATTGGAAAATACAATGAAACTGCAGGAAAACATGATAACGATCAGAGGAAATCGTACAAAATCCCCTGGAAAACGGACGAAAACGGAGCGAATGCTAGGAACAAACCATGGAAAATCCCTTGGAAAATGGAGGAAACCGGAGCGAATGCTAGGCGCAAACCATGACGATACAGTAAACATGCTGGAAAAATACAGTGAAAGTGCAGGAAAATGTGATAACAACGAGAGGAAATGGTGCAAAAAGGATCGGACTAAATGAAGGAGACAGGTAAAACTCTTGGATTAATATTAATATTGAAAAGGTATGAAAATGCAGGAAACCAGAGGAAATGGTGCAAAAACCTATGGAGGAAAGAGGTGAAAATGATAGGAAACATGTAGTAAAAAAATGCTGGACACAACATATTGAAAACCCACGAAGAGGATGTATTGGAAAATACAATGAAACTTGAGGAAAACATGATAACGATCAGAGGAAAATGCTAGGAACAAACCATGCAAAATCTGTTGGAACATGGAGGAAACCGGAGTGACTGCTAGGAACAAACTATGACGATGCAGTAAACATGTTGGAAAAAGACAGTGAAAGTGCAGGAAAATGCGATAACAACCAGAGGAAATGGTGCAAAAACGATCGGAAAATGAAGGAGACGGGTAAAACTCTTGGAACAATACATTGAAAATGCAGCAAACCAGAGGAAATGGTGCAAAAAGGAGACGGGTAAAAATCTTGGAAAAATAGATTAAAAATGCATGAATAGACTGAAAACCCACGAAGAGGATATAGAAACTGCAGGAAAACATGATAACAATCAGAGGAAATCGTGCAAAATCCACTGGAAAATGCTGGAAAGATACAGTGAAGGAAAATGTGATAACAACCTGGCAGGAAAATGTGATAACAACCAGAATAAAGGGTGCAAAATCTGTTGGAACATGGAGGAAACCGGAGCGACTGCTAGGAACAAACTATGACGATGCAGTAAACATGCTGGAAAAATACAGTGAAAGTGCAGGAAAATGCGATAACAACCAGAGGAAATGGTGCAAAAACGATCGGAAACTGAAGGAGACGGGTAAAACTCTTGGAAAAATATATTGAAAATGCATGAAATGCAGGAAACGAGAGGAAATGGTACAAAAAACCATAGAGGAAAGCGGTGAAAATGGTAGGAAGCATGTAGTAAAAAAAAGCTGGACAAAACACAGTGAAAACCTACAAAAGAGAAGAAAGTAACCACAGGAAACGGTAGAAAAAGCAGTGGAAACTGGAAGAAAAGTTGTGACAATATTAGAAAAACGGTGTACAAGCTAGGAAATGCTTGTAACAACTAGAGGAAACAACTAGAGGAAACGATGTAGAAAACAGTACAACATGGAGGACACGCGTGAACATGCTAGGAGGCATGTAACATGTTAGAAAAATACAGTGAAAACCTAGGAAAATGTTATAACTAAAAAATGCTTTAAAAAATATAGTGAAAACCAAGACAATGTCAACGAGCTGAAACGTTGAGCAGGAAATCCGATTTGGTTTCTGTAGATAATGTTAGATGATGAGCAATGTAGGTTGGTGATAGGAAATAGTGGCTGACTCGCGTACAAGACATTGCCATGAAACCTTGGAGCAAGATGCGGATGGTATAGGAAAAAAGATGTATGAGTTGTAAGATTTTAGGAGTTGCATGGGAAAATTGGTTTCATGGTAATCTGTGTGAAGTTAGAAAAGTGTGATTTCGTTCACAGAGTAAGAAAAATAAATACAATCTGCAGATTAGAGTATTTATAATGCTTAAAGCTGTTTGACGTTTTTTGGTGCCTCCCTGATTCTGGTAGCTTTGTGATAAGAACTACAAAAACGATAAACGGAAGGAATAGTAGTCTTTCCGGTTTAGAACTGAGTCGACTGTCAAGTGATGCATAGGCTCCAGGCCTCTGGTTATTGTCACAAAGCATTGGAATGAAGATTGCGCCCAGGAGCCACCTAGGTTAGGAGACAAATGCTGTAATATCATTGTAAGAGGCCGTACTGAGAAGGCTGAAACAGAACTAAAAGTGAATCTTGTACTAAAACATCGAGAAAGAATTTGAATCTTCTAATGGCAATGACGGGAATGATATGCATCTGTACGTCCGTGATAGTATGTGTGCCTTTTAAAAGGGATGTTTGGCGAGTGTGATAGCTGAGAAGATTTTCCGGGATGCCAAACAATTATCTCTATCGATGTCAGGGATGATGCTATTCCGCGACATTTCCTGTAAAATACCTATTTTCCAGACCCTTGGGGGGTGGGGGGGGTACCCAGGTCTGTAAATGGCCTAAATATATATACTTTTGATTTGGACTGCATGTTCGCCACTGTTCTATATTTCCCGTGGGTTTTGCATTGTTTTCCTCGATTTTCATTCGTTCTTATACCCTTTCTTACGTATGTTATAATATTGTCTTGGGTTTGCACTGCCCATTTTGCGAGTAGAGCTATGTTTTGATTTCTCACCGTACGGCCAAAATGTTGCGGAACTTCGCGGAGAAGCATGGACCACGCTGGGGAGAAAACAATTTAGACTTTGAGAGGTCACATGACCATTGTTCACACAAAAAAGCGGGTATTATTTATCTACAATAGGTGGGAGCAAACTTGCGCTGTTTTAAGATAAATGAGCAACCAAAGGCGGATTTACGGAACTTGAGATAAAACTTTTCACAATGCCGCAGTACATTGTAGGAAACATATTTGGATATAGAAGTTACAAAATCGTGGAGTTTACCCTAAAAATGTCCATTTAATGATTGGAAAATTATGACCCGATAGCAATTGTTGATGTTGGGGCGCTTCATGTTTGAGCCATGCCATATGGATGAGGTGGAGTTTCACGCGCCCCCGCGCGAGTCAAAAAGCAAGCGCTGGCTTTCGTTCCACCCTTTCTCAGGTTTCTTGCTTCTTCCTGTCTTTCTGTATTTCTCTCTGCCTTCTTGATTTCGTTCGTTGTTTCTTTCTTTCTTGATTTCGTTCTTTGTTTCTTTCTGTCTTCTTAGTTCTTATCTTCATCATCGGCATGATTACCGGTGATTTAAAAACGGTAAATTTCATTGGTTGTGACATTTCAACTAATGTAGGTATGTAACCGATTCCGCTTTATCACATCAGATATATGTAGTCACACATGCACATCATGACATGTGGGTCTTGATGTTTATTGCACTATGGCCCCATGGTTCCCTGCTAGGCGGCTACGATCTCTGTGTCATGACAGCGGCGCCGCTCCCAAAGCGGGCACTTCCAAGGCCGAGCAGCTTCGCTTGGAAGAAGAACTGGTCAAGACACGTGCGGCCAAGATGAAAAAACTCAATGAAGACTTTCAGGCCGTTGGGATTTTTACTCAAAGTATGTTGTCTTTCAGTGCCTTTTTCTGAAGTAAAAATCCAATGGGGAGCTTGCACCAACCAACCAACCACTTGGATTCGTCCCGCAGGATTTGTTTTTTTTGCAAACGTGAGAGTTAAACCATGATTTGGCAACAGCCACTTTTTGGGGATTGAAAAAATGGAAACGGACATTTTTCCAAGATGGTGATCTAATCATGGGAAATGAGGGTACCACAATCAAAGAATGAGTAAACTAGATGATAAACCAACAGGAATGGAGTTGATCATCTACAAACGAAGTAAACATAGACTCATCAAACAAGATTTGACACAATGTCCATGCATGTCAGCATGTCCTACCATTTTTCCTCTGTTTTATCAGCTTCAGTAGTTTCATCCGCACAGGAAGCCTCCAAGTCTGAAGCCTTGGAATTTTTCCAGTCGTGCCTTTCCTCCGAGAACTTCCAGGCTTTGTCCGCTCTGTCGGAGATCGGTCACTATTTGGACGCCTGGAAATCGCCTCTGTCGAAGCCATTGCTGACGCGGCAGCGTGAACTGATAGACATCTTGGCTGTGGCATCAGAGACGGCACAGGAGGAGACTAAGGCGCAAGGTGAGCTGAATGAAGCTGGGTCATGGATTAGAACTGGTTGAAAGAAAACAACAAAAAAAATCAGAGGGTTACCCACAAAAAGAATAGTATAATAGTATAAGTGAGTATAACTAGATAGTTTGGATAGTATCAACCGATGAAGCAAGTTGCGACTTGACCCCGAATAAACTGGTGATTTGCACCCCGATAGATGGGAATATCATCATCTATAACTTGGGACGCCCTAAGTGGTTGGTTCAAGATTATGGATTCCACCCTCGGTTGATGATCCTCAACGACTTTTTTGCACTGATATCTTTGGATGGAAAGCCACCAGGAAGTCATGAACCAATTGGCTGAACTGGACTTCAGTGCTGACACCTTCTGGACGGAATTGGAACTTTTAGCCACACGAGAATCACAGAAAAGCAAGGATGCCATGGATCCAAAATTTGGACGAGCAGCTGCTTGTTGGGCATCGTTGTTAGTCTCGGGACATCCGTTTCAAGTGTTGCATAGTCGTCCTCTGCAGATGGCTGGTGGTTTCTTGCGAAGCGTTCTGGCATCCATTGGTGCACCATCGGTCAATCTCTCAGGGAATCTTAGATTTATTGGATTTAAGTTGAGTGGATCATGGTTTCGTTTTGTAAATGTTCGAAATCACAACCATTTGGGGATTTTGTAAATCACCATTTGGGGAATGAGATCTATGAGGAACACTGTACCGCCTTGGTGAATCTCAGGATTTATGTGGTCTCAGTGATTGGTGCCCAATCTTCCGCCAAATCGACCCTGTTGAACTTTCTCTTCGGCAGTGGTTTCGCGGTCTCCTCCGGTCGTTGTACCCGTGGATTGTACGCCTCCTACTTCTCCTCAGGGCCGAAGGGTCGGCCAGTTCTGGTGTTGGATTCCGAAGGCTTGCTATCACTTGGATCAGAAGGCAGCACATTTGATGGGCAAATTGTAGCTGGCAAGACTTGGCAAAATCGCTGTGGCTCAATTTTTTTTGACCATTCAAAATATTCAAAACGATCACGATTTTGAGTTTTTTTTTCTAGTGTTGTGTCTTTCCAGGGTTGATACAGTTTCTCAAGGGAAAAATATGTGGCATCGTTAACTCTGCAAACAGATTGCCTTGAGGCAATGATGTGCATGACTTGCAGCCATCTGGTGTTGGTGAACAACAAGGGAGAACTTTCTCGACAGCTTCAGGACGAAGCAGATGCCCTTTGGGGAGGGAAAAGGTGGGAAAGGCCCGTGCAGCAAAGTTAGATAGTTGTATGTGTTTACCAAGTTCTGCAAAATTGATGTCAATTTATCATATTGTTGCTTGACTTTGGTCCTATTCATACCTTTCATCCGCAACTGAAGAGATACTGTAGCAATTCAGCTCTGGGATTTAACTTAGAAACGGGGCAGCATTTGTGGTAAACTATCCAATTTCGGCAGTCGGCCACAGCCATGTGACAGTAATGAAGCCAATGGATGATCCCAGTTACCAAGGGGAAATTCCATGGCCGGATTTATGATGTTTTTTTTCCAAGTCATCATGTCATATCACCTTTATTGGTTGGTCAACTTCTCAGTTCTTGATGCTGATCCCCAACTGTTGTTTCGACATGTTCTGGCCAAAGTGGGATGGTCGAAAGTAGGATTAGTATTTTTCCTACTTACTTTTTACTTTTGCATCTGGTTAATTGGGATAGCTCATGTGACTTGGTTCGCTGCTGGGCTGCAAGGCTTGACTTGTGATTTGGGTGCAAAACTATGAGCAATCAAAGCTCCCTTATCGATCATGGCACCATTTCCGTTCATTAAACCCACCCAAGTGTAGTTAGTGATGGTGATATACCAGCCACGGTTGGTGTACAACGTGTACAACAACTGTTCTGCTCCGGCAGAGGACCTTCTGGAGATTTGTCTCTTTGCCATGAAGCACCTGCGGCTCAGTCGCATTCAGCCACGGCTGGTCTTCGTGCTGAGGGATCAACATGACAGATCTCGTAGCGTTCATGAAGATATGCTGAAGCAGATGAAGAACAACCTGGAAGATGCAGCAAAAACACTGGGATCTCCCCTTCAAGATTTGATTTTGTTGGATGGCACCGCAGTCTTTCTGCTTCCATCTGCCATGAGCTCAGAACTGAGACAAGGTAAGGAAGTGTGTTGGACCAGTGAATTGTTTGCAAAGGAGGTGCTGAAACTCCGCTCAGATGTCTTTCGCTGGCTGGAAGAAGATTGTCGCCATCGAGAAACACGTGGCCCAGTACCGGAGTTCTCATCCCTTGTGAGTTGGTTTGACTATGCGACCACCGTGTGGGAAACATTGGATCAGTTTGGTCAACAGTTGCTCCACTGCCGTACCATCCATGAAATCGAGCAGCGCCGAGAGCTTGCAGATGTTGCCAAGAATGCGGTGAGAGAAGCCTTGGATGGAGCTGGCTCAGCTGATGCAGGTCATGCAGGTTTTCACGAGAGAGCCAGGCAACTGGTGGATAGCTTTGTCAACCGAATCCATAACCCAACTCGCTTTGATTTGGAAACCACGGATCTGGAACTTAGTCGAGCTTTGGCATATTTACGAGATGAATTTGTTGCAAGATTGGAAGAGCTGTTCCAACAGAAAGCATCAAGTCCTCGATTTAGCACAACCGCTAAAGAGCAGGCAAGACAACAGATTCGAACTCCCATTGAATGGGCCTTTGAGAACCATTTGTACACATGGAAACTGCATTTGAAGAAGGCTTCCGATGAACGTGCCATGCACGAGCTTTGGATTCATTTCACTGGGGTTCTGAATCGTCATCTCGAGACTTCTGGTCATCGATCATGTTTGTCAGAAGAAGAGTCACGGGAGCTTTTCGATAGCGAATGGAAGATGTATGAAGCATCATTCCTGGAGCGACTGAAAGGTCTCACAAAGGATTGGCAGACTTTGGCTCATGAAGTCACTCTTTTGTTCAATCATGCCGTAGCAAAACTTCACCATGAAACTGGTGCCTTGGCTCTCTTGAAAGAAGCAGGGCCTCAGCAGTTGGCTTCAGATGGACGGCCTTTGCTTCAGCAAAGTAACGAAGAATGGGAGGAACCTTGGTGAAACCTACCACTTTGCAGCGAATTTTCTTTGCAAATTTTGTTTTGCTCCACTTGCTTCCAATCATTTGGGAAAATCCTATGGCATTATGGCAAATCTTTGCAGAATAGATGGTTCTGTCTGTTTTTTTGGTGCAGAAATGGCCGCAAAATTGTGTAAAATCGGCCCCAGGAGCATTTTTTCCACATCGGCTGGTGGGGTGCCATGAAGCATGGCTTAGCTTTGCTCCAAGCTGGAGGCAATCTCTCCTTGGATTCCACCTCCTCGGTGCATGGCATCATCCCACGGATGCGACAAAATGTTCAGCACGGGCTGCAACAACTGAAGTCTGAAACTGGAACTGAAACGATTTTATGGCGTTTTATATCTTTTTTAGCCCAAATTGCCATCCCAAGAACCAAGAATTAGAGTTGTTGCTTTCCTGCTTTCCTCCCAAATTCAAGATAACTATTTTTGTGATAGCTCCCACCACCAACTGGTTTACCTGTTCCATTTTTTTTCCACTTGACATGCCAGTTCTTCATCAACTCCCAAAGTTTGGGCATTTCACCATCATTTCACCATGTTTTTACCATGTTGTTACCACCAGATTCCCCCGAGATCTCCACCGTCCACCGAGGAAATCCACGCCCGCGGCGTCTTGGACGAGGCCACCGCGGCGGATGCCCTGCGGCACGTGGCCAATGTGATGCTGAACGACTTGGAGTCCCGGCTCCTGTCGGATGCCCGGTGCTTCAAACAAAACAGCTGTCGGTGAGGATTGGGATGGTTGGTTGGGATGGTTGGGTTACCCTCTGGTAAACTAACAGTTTGCTATTGAAAATGACCATTTATAGTGGATTTACCCATTAAAAATGGTGATTTTCCATAGCTATGTTAGTTTACCAGAGGGTTAAAGGCAGAAGAAATGATGGTTTCATAGTGTAAATGATGTTGATGGGATTGGATGAGATGGATATACAGCCTTCTTAGCACATGAAAGGAAATTCAAAGGTGATTGGTCATTTTCACTTGGGATGTGTCCAACTATGATGATGTGTTTGCTGATGGTCTCCAGTCATTTCTGCGATATCAGATTCATCTCGATCCTTTGGCTTCAGTCAACAGTTGTTGAAAACTCACAGCATCCCATTTAAGATCTTATATAATACAGCTTTGATCAAGAAAGGAAGACTGGTAGAAAGCGGGATGTGAGATGATGTGAGGCGAAGTTTGCACTGGAAGCTCCAGGCCGCTAACAGCCATCCAGTGCAAAAGTTGATCAGTGAATGGACTTTCGGTTTCCTTGCTGTAACTTTCCACATGATCCTAATCTTTGGGGGTGTTGTCTTGTTGTGCACATTGGTTGCTGAGTAGATCAGTTGGTTTGTTTTTTTGCCTGGTCCAAATCAAGGGAGGCGCAATTTCAAGCCGGACGTGTCGTCCCCAATTTTCTGAAAGTGCTTCAAGTGAGTGTGAGTTCAAGCAGGTCAATTGCCGAAGCTTTTTTTTGTCCTCATATGGCATATATATGGGTTTATCCAATAGGAAACCCAAAGTCTCATGGATCATCATATTCCCCACTTTGGCCATAGCGGGTTTCCAAGCCATCTTTGGACCAAGGATTGTCATTCTGGTGTCACTTTGAAGAGAGCTCAGATTCTGCATGCTTTGCACATGGCCCTTCGATCTATATCCTTGGAAGCCCTTGAAGATATCGAAACCGAGAAGCAGAAAAAAGCCATGGACGACTTGTTGGCACAAAAGGCTTTGGTTGAAGAACATTTTCTTTTGATTGTGCAGGCCAACAAGGGTGATGTGGAAAGGGCCACGAATTTCGCTACTTTGTATCATCGCTCTTTGAGCAGCTGGCTGGATCACGAAGTGACGCAATTAGCAGCAGACGTTCGCAGCTTGGCATGGCTTTTGGCATGGCTTTTGGCATGGCTTTTGGCATGGCTTGGCTTGTGTTGGGATGTCCCAAAGAAGTCAGATTTGATGATTTCCCTGTTGAAATTGGATGAGATTGTGACGAATCATCACCCACATCATCTTACTTTCGCTTTTCCAAGATAGGATCTCCGACAAAAAAAACTATTCTGAATGTCCATCGGAGTCCATCGCCAGGCAGCCAAGTTCTACAGCAGATGCCCGATCCACAAAAATCCGTCGAGATGGCCTTCCAGATGTCTTTTGGTTCCCGAAACTGGAGCGATGTCTTGGAGTATGTCTTGGATACCAACGCCTATTTGGAGAAACAGTTCCTGCAGATTTTTCATCAGCAGAAGAGGTCCTTTGTTGGGGCGGCCCGCTCCCGTGTGGAGAAACGAATCTTCAGCGCATATCACCTCCTTCAAGATGTCAAGAGCTCAGATGAGCTCAGTGAAGGGAGAAAGACAGCTGCCTATTGAAACGGGACCTTTGTCACCCAAACCATCGGAATGAGTCATGAGCGTAATGAAAAGGATAAGTTTATTTAAGTTTTAAATCATGGAATTTGAATAGCCTCTTTTAGTAGCTTTGGTCTGAGAAAAGCTTACTGGGCATGCCATGTGAGAAACCTCCTGCGCCTTCCAGAAGTCCGACAGTCCAGTTTCAGAAAGATTGCCCTGGATCTTTCTGGGATAATCGTTCATGCGCGACGTTTACAAATGGTTTCGACAACACAGCAGCATAATGCAGCATAAACACCAAAAGAGGAAGTCACGAAATCATCAAGATGAACATGGGAAAGATGGGAAAAGCTTGCATGCTAACATTCAGCGCTCTGAATTGGGCCCAATTCCAACCTTTTGCAACATGTTTTCACATGTTTTCACCATTGCAACATGTGTCTGACCTGTCTCCTGATGATATGTTGGCCTGGCAGGTGGTTGGCCAATGGGCCAGAAAGGAGGTCTATCCGACTGAGAAAGTTGATATCACCAAACCTCAGGCAGTGCGGCAGGGTCCAGTCCAACAGGGTCCAACAGGCTCCAACATCTCCGGTGCATCTGTGGCAGGGCGAAGGAAGCAGCACCAACCGCCGCTCCATCAAAGAGTTGAAGGACTGAACGACTCAAAAGACTTCAGGGTGTATGGTGAAAAAATGGTGAAAAAATGAAACGTGGAATCATTTGGGACATCATGTGTGACTCGGTCTCAGCTGACTTTGCCAGGACTTTATTTCAATTCATGCCGAGCATGTCCCCACCAACGCGGACATTGCTGAGGCGTGTCTCCGCGTCACCCTGACAGAAGTCACGTCGTCACCGTCGTCACCGTGTCTTGCCACCATTGAGGCGCATCGACAACTGGCCGAACGTTTGCCGGCGACGGCAGATTTCCACATCGCAGACCCCAAACTCTTTGCGGAAACTCTGCAGGCACGGCAATTGGCAGTTCAGTTTGATGACAATTCATGACGTTTCAGAAGCTGAGTACATCACGGATGTTTTCATCACGGATGTTTTTGCCATGTTTTTGTGCAGGCTCGTTTGCTGCGCCTTAGGGTACATTTACATCACCACATTACCACTCATCTTGAAATGTGCTTTTGGGCGGTTTTTGAAACTTTTTTTGTTTCAAAGTCCAACCTCAGCTCGAAGATTGTCAGTTTCTTTTACTCGTTTGGGCCCAGGCCCGAATAAGTGATTTTGCCGATTCGCGAGAGATCCCGAAACGGCTTTCGGAACAGCTTCAGAAGGCACCCGCTTGTTGTGGATCTGCTGTTCTTGTTTTGAGAAACGGACAGATGTCATGGTTTCAATTTGAGTAACAAGTTTTGGGAAAACGTTTCGGAACAGGAGAGATTGTTTTTCATGCATGGAATTGATTTGCGGAAGATGCATTGGTTAGAGGCCGCCTAGGGACGCGAATAAAGGCCTTTCCGCGCGCCCTGAAAGCCGTCATTTTCTCGTACATCGTTTGGAAAGGGCGCTTTCATG